TACGAATTGAGAATAAATGAAATAAAAGTATGTAACGAAAATATACTTCTTTTCACAATGTGAAATACTGTATTTAAAATGTTTGAGGTTAGAATCTTTACATTTCGTCCTTGGTGCATAGTGACATCATCAAGAAAGTTCAAAATGAAACAAAAATATGGTACGTTTTAATATTTCAAATGTTTATCCACGGTGTAATTACCGCTTGTATGCTTCTATGTATTTTGTGACGTATTTTGGTATTGCAATATTAGGAAAGTATGAAAGAAACAATAGGATAAAAGAGAGAATGCGATTTTTTCTCTCGCTATACACCATCTACTCTTCGTTAAAGGACATTTTTAAAACCAAAAGATGTTCTTACCCGCTCATAATTCGTGATTTAAAACCATTAGTCAGCGCAACTGTGAAGATTCATATAAACATGTGTCATCGTATCATGTATTACGTCTGATCGATCCCGAGCGCAAAATCTTTTTTATAACTGAACTCGACATAGTATACTCAATAATTCTTGCATTGCTCTATATCATTTTGAATTCATCGAAAACTTACAGTCTACAATAATAATGTGGCAAAAGCTTTAATTAAATATTAATATGTGTGAGGTGAAAAAGTTAATTTTAGATTATTATGTCTCGGTTTAGAATACATTACATTTTTTGTCTTATTCATTAAAAACGTTTAATATTATGAATAACATTTTTATCACTTTGGAATTATTCATTATACAATATTATTCAACCATAATATTCATATAATATTCAACCACTTATTTATTGAAAATATAGCAATTATTGATCTATATTTTCTGCTATGTAAATTATCTATATTTTTTTTACATTAATATATACTTATTTTTATATTTACTTTTATTAATTATTTGTTTATTCTAATATATCTATATATTATAAATAATAATAATAATTAAAACTGAACTGTATAACAATTTTTAAAACATTAATTTTAATAACTTAATTTTTAGTTTTAAATTAATAAAAAGAAATTATGATTTTTGTATATTTTCTCAGAAAAATAGATAAATTTTAATATATTATCCATAATGAATTTAGTAAATTAATGTTTGTTAATAATTAGAGAAATTACCTAATTTATAAGATACCTTATTTAAAATAAATTTTATTCATTTTACAAAATATCATTTACCTCTATAAATAAATTATCTTCTTATGTCTCTCATGAGTGCATGGGTATACTAGTATAAGCGTATATATAGTAATATATAGTACCTTGTAAAAATATATCAAATGCAGAGAAATCAAAGGAAAGTGATGAAAAAGATAATGTTTTGTATATAATAATGTTTAATTTAATATATGTAATGATGTTCAATGAGGCAAATGTGTCGTTATAAGTTATATCCGATTAATAAAAATACATTTATTTCAATTAATATATTAACTTTTATTCAATATAAAATTTGGTCATACAAATATTATTCGACGTTATTTTACATAAATTAGCAATGAATTGTTCATTGAAATCCAATAAATGAAATGGTATAAAATTTAATGTTACATATATGTATATATATATATATATATATATATGTATATGAATTATGAAAAAAAATAGAAGTATAACGCTATTAACGTTTAAATGTATGTAAATTATTTATATTATATAGTTTAATAATAATAATTTAGATCTTAACGTTTTCTTAATAAAAATGTACTAATATACTTGTTTTGTCATATTTATAAAAATTTAGTGTATGATAAATTTTAATGTTTATAAATTAAATAAGTATTAACACTATCATAAAAATTTTAAATAAACTTTTTAGAAAAATAGTTACTATTATTATTTTATATATATTCAAACAATACTTGAATTATCTATGTGATAATATTAAATTAGTATATTTTTTAAATTCCATCGTACATTAAGAATTCAAAAAATTGTTCACATGTTTATTTTGAATTTTTTAATATTTATATTTATTAAAAAAGTAATATAATGTGATAATTTTTGTTATCATTATTTGCTTTTAAATTAAATTTCTATCATCACTGTTAAAATAAACAACTTTACAAAGTTTTTTATGTAAGATTCTACACATAATAATTAAATGCTATCAGAATTTCTCGACCAAAATCAATTTATTATAGAAAAAGTAATTTAAAATTGAATTTGCATAGAATTAAATTTAACAAGATTAGCAGGAGCTTGGAAGAACAGAAAACTATCTTTATTCATTTCAATAGGAAATGACAATTTAAAATTTTGATTATGAATTGAACAAAAAAACAATAGTAATAGAAGCCACGAAAAATAAATCTGTTACTTTTAATCATAAAAGTGCACTACAAATCTCAGTAAGTGCAATAAAAAAAATACAATGATATAGTAATACAATTACATAGTATAGTTCAGAACAACGCATTTTATACACTTATTCTCCATGCCTTGAACTGATGTTGCCGCTTGAGTGCATCTCTGTAACACATGAGTTACATATTAAATCCCGAAGATATAAATTTTGTTATTTCGTAACCAGTAACAAAAAATATCCACAATAATGACAAAGAAGCTACCTCGCCAGTTATATTGTACTTAAAAAATGGAACAGTTAGACTTGAATTCTCAGTTACACTAAAAAATCACGCTCTTAAAAAACGTTTCTTTTTAATTTCAATATAAATTATCATTTTGTGTTAATATTGGATATAAAAAGAACAGTTGAAATTAAAAAAAAGAGTGTGGTACGGCCATATTCTTACCTTTGATATATTCTTCTGTCTATTTCTAATATGAATATAAAAATTGAAAAATACTTGGTTCAATACTTTCGCGTATATTTTTTAAATTTATTGTTAATTTTTTAATTAACTAATTCATTATTCACAAAATGCACATTAGAATGATGAATTACGTTATAATATTCTGATACGTTTTTTACGCGTTTTATTAATAATTTGCTTTAAATACATTTTTATACTTAATAGACATTAAATCATTTAACTTATTTTAACTGAAAATATTAGATATGTTAATTTCCATAGGACAATAACTTGTTAACTGAAGAGCATGACTAAAAATAAAAAAATCCTTATCATTATTTTACAATTAAGAAATATTCCGTGTATTTGTTTAAAAACAATTTAACTAGGAATGATGTTGCAATAAAATATTTAGGTTTTGACTAATTTAATAGTAACTGTACACTATCAAAATATTAATTCATTTAAAATTGCTTTGAAAAAATTTATCAGTTTAAGCAAATCTTTGAAGTTAGAATATTGCAATGTTTGTTCAAAAATCTATATTACTATACGAAATGTATACAAATGATTATAAGTTTTTGTAAAAAATAATAAGTTTGTTCCATATAAATGTTTGCAAAAGTATTATTTTATAAGTTTATTTAATATATTTATTTAAAATGTTTATAGGCGTTGTATAAGAAATCTAAAGAAATGTATAATGTAATATTCGATTAACTTATTCCGATTTATATACAATTATAGTATATACAAAAGGTCTTAGATCTACTTTAAAATCCTTAATCATTTACAATTACAAAATATAACAATGAATTGTTAACATAGTAAAAGTCTTATAAATTGATCAACTTGGATATATATATATATATATATATATATATATAAGAAAAATAATCTGTCTAGAATGCAATTTTGATTGCAGAGATGGCGAAGACTAAAATAAAGTTGAGTGTGGAAGAAACAAAGAAAATAAAATAATACAGAAAAAACGAAATTCAAAGGAAGCAGCGCAATCATAGAAGGCTAATAATGGCAGCAAGAATCCTACATAAATCGATGAATTTTTCTACAATCCCTTGACCCTGTATAGCTCCATTTGACATAAATATCTTGATACAAAATTCCTGAATGTTTTTAACTAACCATAGCCCAAGTGAAAACCTTTATAAATCTCGTTTCCTTTTGAACTATATATTTTATATCCTTCCTTCTAAAGTTAATACATAAATTAATATCTGGTAAAAACACCTCGTTATTTAAGGGAACCAGAAACTCAGATCGTATTTTAAGAATCTTGGATAATTTTACAGGTATACCATTTATATTGATGCTTAATGGTGAAATAAATTGAATCTCTTGATTTTAAATCACGGAAAATTTTGTAAATTGAAGCTGATGATATACGTATTAAATTAAACACAATATTATAAAATCTCATCATTTTTTCATCTTCAAAATAAATATTTATGAAAAAATATTTATTTTAAATTCGCATAGATTAAAAAATTATCTATTTTAGAAGATCTTTATTTTTACGTTTACCTTAGAATGTTTCAATAATCGTTATATGCATGTGTGTGTTTATATAATTAAATAAAAAATAATAAAAATGTACGTTTTATAGAAAACGTAAAACACAACTTTGAAATAAACACTGATTATTATTAATTGAATACGTTTTTTACGTAATAATTATTCTTCTATTTTAAAACAAGAATGTTTAATTTTTTAAATATTTTATAAGGTGTAAGTGAAATGTTATTTATAAATTTATAATTGCATTTTTCTTTGAAAATTAATATCTTTAAAACAAACTCAATGTACAATTATCAATATCTATAGCTAATAGTAGATATTTTATTTTTATTAAAATTCAATAATTTTTAAAATAAAAAATATATTCGCTATCCTTTATTCCTTACCCTATCCATTATCCTTTCTTTACAGATTTATACATGTTTATCAACAGACGAGTTGAAGAAATTATCGTACTATAATATTGTAGCATCGTACTCGCGAATGATAAGAACAAAAGGTCAAGGAATTTATATAGTGAAAGAAAAACGCATTGAAATACTAATAGCTACGAGAGTCTGACCGTCCCATCGGCAATCACTTATCTACCAACATTTCGTATGCCAAGATTTTGCCTACAGTAGAGGTATTTCTAGTAGAACCGACAAGCCGTCCTTATATCGCTGCTCTCGGCCTTATAGTAGAAATAGTGTGAGCGCATGTAAATTTTCTCGTTTCCATTGTGAACTGCTTTCAATCATTTATTATTTATTCGATCATATTTTACAAAAGGAACTGCTGTATATCTTGGTTAATGGCCTCGTGTCTTAAGAATTGATTGGCGGCACAATCCACTTGCGAAGTTAATTTATTGAGAATCACTGGGTACTGAATTTGATGGAACTTGGAAAACGCATTTCTGTCATACGAAATGAGGATGTAAACAGTACGTGACTTTTTATTTATTTTCACTCACTTGTGAATTATAAAAAGTTGATTTGATTGAATAATTATGCATATCAATCAATTTTTACGTGTAAAAATATTTTAAAATTTAAGTTAAAACGATTGCCAACAACATTTCAAATATAATAATTATTGCTTACACTTGGATAACTACAGTTATTATATTATAAAGTGTACAATTTTAATTTAAAATTTATTGATGCGCGCGCGCACTTATATACTATCAAGTACGTAAAATTTGGGTTCCCCGTAAATACATCGTAAGTAGCATTAGAAAATACATAATAAATAATTAATTTTATTTCAACAGCAACAATCGAATTACAAATCGAGATTACGCATTTAATTAGAAAACTATCAAAATAAAGATTTTACATGCATATGGACAGATCATACAAAATTATAATTAAATTAAATTGGTAAGTCCTTGACGTATCCATTGTCATTTCAGCTATATCTAAGATAAAGGTTTTGCCATTGAAACTTAAGTTATTTCGGTGGTTTTTGGCGCGGCTACATCAGCTTCCGCGTGCGCGAACAATTTTCCGCAAGTTAACGAAGGTCCCCCACAACGGATCGCGTCTTTATTTAAATATCTTCATGAATTTTCAGAATTCCCGCGGTGATCGGCCAAAGAAAACGTCCCTAATAAAGGCCAGACATCCGGGTTGTAAGCAGGAGGGAGTGAAGAGAGAAAGAAGAAAAAGTCGTCGGCGATGCTTGACCTGTATAAATAAATAGTGCGCGAACCAGCGAAGTACTTTAAGCGAGATGAGTGACAGGAAGCGAACCTTGATACTGCACAAGCGGACGGATGACAATGCGAGGACGAGGCTGATTGGAGAATCGTCGACAAGATCGCGATGTCCCGACAATAACCGCGTCTTGGAAAGGGTGACGATTATACCGCCGCCCCGCGTCATACAACACACGGGATGCTCCCCCAAAACACGTAAACAGTTTTCCGAACTTACTGCGCTCACAGCTAATTTAGATAGTCGTAAATGCTGCTCTATAGCTTTTTCCAATAGATTAACAGGACGACTTTTCGATTACCGCGTTACTATAGTAACATGAAGTTTTGGTTTCTTGATACTATAAAATATGAATTAGAAATATAACGAATGAACTATGAAAATTATGCAATCATTAAACATATGTAACAATAAATATTAAGCTAATAAGTACATTATATTATTGCTAAGTTACGCATTCTAAAATTAGAAAGCTATTTTTTTATTTCATTTTGATTATTGAAAATATATCGAATTACAAAGGTACTTTATCCCGTTATATTGATTATATTCAACTCTAAATATTTATTACTTTTACACTTCACTCATTTGAATAAATTTTTTAATATTTTTACAGTTGTCTAGTTTACTAGACTTAATATTCCATTGTTTTCAAATGATTTGACTTTATAAAATTATAAAAATGACAAATCTTGTATATATAAAAATACAATATTATTTAAAATACATTTGTAATGGCTTGTTTTAATTTTAAGAATATTAAATTTTTTCAATGTATTTACTCATATCTTTAAGTAATTTAAAGATGCTCTTTTATATGAAATAAAAAATACTTTTTACTTTTCCTTCACAATACTTTTTTAATTTTTAAATCGTATTCATTATAATTAAAACTAATAATTTTTTTAGTTTTTTCCTTGAATCGGTTATAAAACCAATATTTATACTTTTTTTTGTATTATCTAGTCCGATAGAAGATGACTAGAATATTTATGAACGAATTTCAATCATTAAGCTTTTTATGAACAATATCAAAATGAAAAAATTAGTTATTCATAAATCAACTTACTGTTGAATCAATTTATTGTTGAAAATAATTAAATTATTACATAACTTCATTTAAATAAAAATGTTATAGATTTAGTAAATAATTAAAAAAAAATCAAAAGACAATGAATAAATGCTGTATTCAATTAAATAAACTATAAATACAGTTTTCAAAAAAAGTTTCGTAAAAATAAATAAAACTAAATAATTTAATTATATTTCAGTAATAATTATTTCATCGTAAAAATTTGTTTAAATATTTTGAAAAATAATCGTTTATTTAAATGAGAATGTACTTTATTTTCAAAATTTTGAATAAATCTGAAAAGCAAAATATAATTTATTTAATCAAAGAAAAATTAGGTATTGTTTTAATTATAAAATTTCGTATGCTATATAAATTTTTTTTTAAATATCGAATATTGTGTAGATATAAAAAATATAGAATGTTATAATAAAATGATAATGAGCAAAGAAATTGATTTTTCTTTATGATTGAAATCCTATACAAAGCTCTTTTAAGTATTTAATAATCGCTGAATCAATACTAATTTGACTGCCTTTCAATTTTCGTTAGATGTTTTTATACTCGCACGATTTTGACGAAGCGATATTAGTTGTCTTAAAACCCTCCTCGATTCAGTCTGGCAAATTTTGCACATTAGTTTCTCTTTACTTCACCTTTCGTCTCTTTGTATGTCGTCTTATTTTTATTTGTGACTGCATGATGAATTTACCTTTTTTCTCATCTATAATTTTGACTAATTTATCTTAATGGCTGTTGCTTTTATATTTGATTGCAGCTACAAAAGTTTCGATGACATCACTTGATGAAAATGTGAATCCCATATGTCGCAGGCAAGAATTAATGTCGCAAGACAAAATAGTGGGTGAGTATATCCTTTTACGATTCAATATTCACAAGTTATACGATCAGTATAATTTTCTATCTTATTGACTGTTTAAAATTTTATTTTACACATGCACTAAATTATTCAATATAGGCATGTCGATGAAATATGCATTCATAATACATCATATATATTTTAATATTTATGTTTTACATCGTGTTTTAAAATAAAACAATTATCCAATTTTTCCAATTATTCATTTCATTTACCTTCTACTTGTAAATAATTTATATAATATTTTTATATTTAGATTATTTTAATAAAAATACTTAATTATCAATGATTCTTTATTTACATAAGATATTACGTAAATTCTGAAAACCAAATACAAAGCTCTTAAGTATAAAATTTAATAAAATACATTGTATTTACAAATAAAAATATGGTGAATTCTTTATAGATTGTTAAATATTTTTAAAAACTAAGCTTTCTCATTTATAGTTTGCTTTTGACGTTAACTAGAAAATCATATTGAATTTTGTATAATATAATTATCATTTGATGATTTCAGTGATCCAATTATAAATATATATTTTTTTATGGAACTTCAATTCCTTTTATGTATATCTTTAATATAAAATTTATCCTGTAAATACACAATTAAAACTATTTTTATTACTTAGATAAATGTTAAAATATAAAACTTATATAATATTAATTTCTTTCTATTAAAAATATACAAATATGTTTACATTCATTTATTAAATTGAACATAAAGTAAGTGACTGTAAAAAATCTATATAATTAACATAAAATTAAGAAAAAAATTGATATTGTTATAAAATCATATGTACAACTAAATTGAAATCGGTAAGATAAGTCCTTTTGTAAATATGTATTCTAAAACAAATTATGAAATTATGAAAATAAAAAATTAAACATAATATAAATAGTATTCAAAATGTCATAATATTATGTTTGTTTTTCATGTTTTATTTTTCTAATTCAGTATTAAACAATTTACAACTGCTTTATACTATATATGTTCATTATGTCTATAGATCTTCAAATTAAAATAATTAAAATAATTCCATTATGAATTTTCCAAATTTGCATTTATTTAAAAAATTTAGATCTTTAACTCTTAATTTTAACTTATAATTATATTGATTAGTTTCAATTATATCAATAAAAAATCGATGGTATTTATTTTTTTATTTTTTTCATAAAGAATATAATAAAATAAGAAATATATATTAAGTTCTTTATAATTTTCTATATGCTATTTTTATCTTATAAAATAAATTATTATATAAAATAAAATATACGAATTTAATTATTAATTGGTAAATTATTAAATACTTTTTTATGCATATATTAATTTAAGAATAAATTATATTCTTTTTTAGCGGACTATCCTGAAAATATGGAATGGATAGAAAAGGTTACCATGGAAAGTGGAAATGAGGATGATAACCTAGGACGACCCGTGCAAGTTGTTCTGACTCATCCGGACCACACCTTTGAACTTGACGAGGAAGCCCTTACTGAGATTCTTCTTCAAGATGATGTTAAAGATCGTAGCGTCGTCGTTGTTTCGGTTGCAGGAGCCTTTAGAAAAGGCAAAAGTTTTCTGCTAGACTTTTTCTTACGTTTTATGAACAGTAGAGTATGTACCTATTCAATAATGTTTTTAAATATCACTTCAACTTTTTCATATATTTTTAAAATATAAAAATTATAGATCTTATAAAAATCTGCATTTAAAAAGTAATCTAATTTTTATTCTACGAATTAAATATACCAAATATGCAAGATAGAACAGAATATTATTATCTGTCTAATTTTTTAATTCATGTACTCAAAGAAAAAATTATTAAGTTCAATAATCCTAATATTTTATTATATTATTATTTAAAATCTTACTTATTTAATTTTTTACAATTAAAATGATATTACAAAGTTCTTTTCGAGATGGAATCATTGCATACTTGTTTTTCAATCTGAAATTAAAAAAAAATTTAAAACATCGATAATAAGATATTAATAAAAAGATTATATCGATGTCGCAATAAAATATTAGGTGATATGAGAAATTTTTACTCAAACCAAAAACAATAAAATAACTTGGTTTATATAAGGTCACAATTACATAAAATAATGATAATCAAAAGTTATACTATTTTATTTAAATTAGGATTAAAACTCACATTTCTTCTACCTAAAAAATATTTATTATAAATATCTTCATATTATTAAACCGTAAAATAATAAATATTTATAATAATATATATAAAATAAATAAATAAGACAAATTTTTGTAAATCATTGAGCAACATATATAAAAGTTGAACAATCAAAATAAAAAAAATTCAATATTTTTTCAAGTAACTTTTAATTATTAAAAATTACTAGAATCTTATTTTCCACGTATATATTAATGATATGTATATATTTGTGAACAGATATACAACAAAACTTCTTATGTATTTTATCACGCCGCGTTCTCAAATTGATTTCTATTTATTTTTGAAAATTGACATAGAAATTATAAAATAATTGATGTTGCAATATTTAATAAAAAATATTTATCTTTATTAAAAAGTACATAAATTAGTATTTTATAAAGCTCTTTACTTTCTTCGGTGTTTTTTTTATATGTTAAGGACTTGTAACCAATACTTATAAGAAGTAGTACTTTAAATACTATTTTTTAATTCAGGCATATGATAATTAATTGATTTATTAAACGCTGAACTTTTAATTAAAATTTTGTAAATAAACATTTTTATTTATTTCTTATGCAATAGTATATAGAAAAGAACAATTCGGACGAATGGTTAGGCGGTGAAACAGATCCCCTCAGCGGCTTTTCATGGCGTGGTGGCTCAGAACGTGACACCATAGGCATTCTCATGTGGTCGAAAGTATTTCCTGCAACAATGATTGACGGTGAGAAAGTCGCTGTCATTCTCATGGATACACAGGGTGCCTTTGATAGTCAGTCGACGGTAAGAGACTGCGCCACCGTTTTCGCTCTTAGCACGATGCTCTCCTCCTTGCAAATTTACAATCTCTCCCAGAACATTCAAGAGGACGATCTTCAACACCTGCAACTCTTCACAGAATACGGTAGACTCGCCTTGGAAAAGTCGGGTAGCACGCCTTTCCAGAGGTTTGTATATATTCATTAAAATAAAAATATAAAATTTATAATTAATAGTAATTTTATGAAATCCATAATTATTATATAATATCTTAAATTATAAATATTTCATATAATGCTTCCTTCGCTTCAAATATACTATTAAATTATAGATCATTAATTTTAAAAATATGAATAACTTTCTCCATAATTGCTTATATTAATTTTTTTATTTTTATTATTAAACTTAATATGCATAAAAATCTACACTGCTTTAATAAATCAAAATTATTTTCATATTTGGTAAACAAAACTTCGAAAAAAAAACTCCTCCCTCTCTGTGTGTGTCTCTCTCTCTCTCTTTCTCTGTGTGTATGTACACATAATCATTCTTATATGTGTAATTGTATCTTTTGTATTTATAATAGATTGCAGTTTCTCGTGCGGGACTGGAGCTATCCGTACGAAGCACCTTATGGAGCTGATGGTGGTCAAAAAATATTAAAGAGACGACTGGAAATTTCCAATACACAGCATCAAGAACTGCAAAGTTTGAGAAAACACATAAACTCATGTTTTTCAGATATTTCGTGTTTTCTCATGCCTCATCCAGGTTTGAAAATAGCCACTAATCCAAAATTTGACGGACGGTTATCGGAAATTGAAAGTGAATTTAAAGAGCATTTAAAGATATTGATACCTATGCTACTCGCACCAGAGAATCTTGTCACAAAGAAAATTAATGGTCAAGTGGTAAAAGCCAAAGAATTATTAGAATACTTCAAAAGTTATATTAAAATCTATAAAGGTGACGAGTTGCCTGAACCCAAGAGTATGCTTGTGGTAAGTTTATTCCTTTTAGGTATATAACAAATACAAAGAATATAAAAAAAATGACTTATATTTAAAATAAATACTATAAATGAATTATATTTTTTATCATTTTAACTATCATATTACATTTATACAAATAATATATGAAATAATATACTATAAAATGTCACAACATTTTATCTTAATCGAATTATTATTATGTATTACATCTAAATATGTATTCAGTATATTTGGAATAGCTTGTTTCATCAATATACTATAAATTATATTAATATACATAATAACTTATGATTTTACATCGCAATAACTTTTATTCCAAAATTGGTGAATAGGCTACTGCAGAAGCTAATAATCTTTCCGCCGTGGCAGAAGCAAAGGATTTGTATGTACAAATGATGGAATGTGTTTGTGGAGGAACGAAACCATATTTAGCAACTGCTCATTTAGAGTCGGAACATCAACGATGCGTTGATAAAGCATTACACCAGTTTCAAAATAAACGTAAAATGGGTGGTGATGAATTTAGTCAAGCATATTTAGAGAAATTACAAAAGGCAAATTAATAGCTATTTTGTTAATTATACAATATTAATAGTATTGAAAAATATTATTCAATTAATTTATGTATATTCCATAGGATATTGAAGATGCTTTTCATCAATTTAAATCGCACAATGAAAGCAAAAATATTTTTAAAGCCGGACGTACTCCTGCAGTGTTCTTCGTAATAGCTGTTACAACATATATTGCTTCAGGTGTACTTGGTCTTATTGGTTTATCTGATCTAGCTTATATTTGCAATATCATTATGGGTGTTGCTTTATTAACACTTGTTGTATGGGCTTATGTGAGGTAAGCAAAACTTTTTAATTAGAACAACAAAACAAAACAAAACTTTCTTATGTCTATTTAGATATAGTGGTGAATTCCGAGAAATAGGATCAACAATTGATGACTTAGCTACTGGTATATGGGAAAATGTAAGTATAATATAAATAACCCATTAAAAATATATGCACCTTTAAGTATGACTTCAAAATAAAATTATATATCCATTTTAAAAATGCTCTAGTAGATTCTTTAATTATTAGTTAATGTTTATAATTTAACATTTCTCCTATACAAGTACAAACTTTATTTTTAATTAAAGGATTTCATAAAATTTTTACCCTTGTACATTATGTTAACATGTTAACTAAAGGCCTGACTAATATGTAGCATTTTTTATTCCTACAGGCCTGGCAGTGTGTTCGACTCATTCATAAATTAAAATACCCTTTCCTATCTTTGATTATAACTTATTTTGCAATTTTATACATACCTTCTTTTAACCTATGCAAGCATTATTTTACTTGATAGAATGCTTTGTTTTACATTAATAATTAATTTTTATTGTAAAATTAATTTAATTTAATTTATGATTTATCATTACATAAAAAAATCATTAATTCTCTATATCATTGCACTTCAAATGTCTATTTTTTTTTGTACTTTGTTTTTTTGTTCTTTTTTTAATTAATTTTGCGATAACATAGATTTTTATCTTTACAATCCTAAACATTCTCAAGTCATATAAGGATCAATGCTCAAATTAAGGTATGACGGTCTTTGCGTGGTTAATAAATTACTTTTTGATTTGCTTAAACCAAAAGATTAAATAGCTTAAAACAGCATTTGTATAAGAGTTATAAGTGTACTTTAACATTCAATAATAGCTTAATTAAAAACTTCTTTTTTCTAAAAGTTAATACAGTTACAATTACTGAGTAGTGTTGAATGTATTATAATTTATAATCTGTACTAGATTAATGACAACAATGATGGGCATATACACGGAAATTCGAGTTGAAGATTTATACATTTTATTACTAATTTATAATAATACCTATTTTTGCTAAAAAAAAAAAACGAGATAACGAGCATCAAGTAATTACCAATGCTGAAGTTTATAACTTATCTATTTAATATTAACAAACATAAACATATTAATTTTTGTTTAGTTTATGAAACCAGTTTACTTACAATTCGTGGATAAATCTGTATCAGTAGCAGTGGCACAAGCTGCTGAAATAGCCACAAATTCAACATTATGCAGCACAGTCACTGCCAATGGGAAACCTAAGATGATGTAATATTTGCTCTCTCCTTGATGTCATATATATGGTATTTTGAGAAATGACAAAACTATTAGCGGTATTCGATTAAATACCACAACTTGTTAAACAAACCCTTGCGTAATTATTAATAAAATTACTTTCTAAACAAGAAAAAATCCAAAAGTTTTTAAGAATAAGTGAATTTTACAAAATTGGATTTCATCATTATGAGACTTCGTTATACTCAACTGTCTATCAAAGCTGAACGTATGTACAGTACACACATTTTTTTTGTTAAAAATTTATTGATAGTATCTATGATCACTAATATTAATTTGTTATAAAAGTAAAACATTGCATTAATAAGTGATATTGTTAAATCAATGTAATTATACAATTTTTACTGTGTTTGAAAAGTTTAAAAAATTAAATATTAACGATTTTTCTAGTTCAAATATTTTGTTAAAAATAATTAGAAAATCTTTTAGAGATGATCCTTGTAGATTTTTATTGAAAATGTATATACATTTTCTAATTCTTCATAATAGTTTGTTAAAAATTGTTAATTATAATTTTAAATATTTTAAATGGGTATAAATTAAATATGTAACGTTAATTTTAACATTACCAAATGAGTCTGTGTTATTGTGCCACAAATTTCATATATATGACACTGTATCAAAAACACTAAAATAAATGAATTGTGTAAATGTCACAGGCCCTTCATTATATTTGTGTAATGTACTAGGATCTCTCATTAAATTTGTAACATGTTATAGTATCATAGAATATTACTAATATAGAAGTGAAGTTTCATTTGGATTTTTATCTCAAAAAAATCTTGCCATTAAATTGCCGTAGTTCACAAATCTTTTTGCAGAAGATTCTATGTAGGTTAAAAATATCTTTTATATAATTGTTATTAATAACTTATTACAATATTTATCAGGTTAAAAATAGCTTTACTAATAGAAAGGTCTGTGAAAAGTTAAGATTTTATTTGCATTATAACATAGGTGATGGTTACAATTGTTTATTAATAATAACTGTTATTTTTGTTCTATTTATTATCGAGAAGCAGATCTTTGTACTATATATATATATATATATATATATAATCAATAAATAAAAATTATCAATTTTTTAATTTATAGATGTCATAGCCATAATAATTTAAACTTGTATACTAGAAATTATAGAAATTTAATAAAAGCAAATAAGAGAATGCTACATTTTTCATTTGGTTGCACTCAAATGAAAATTGTATAGTATACTTTTGGTATAAGTGATTATAGGTGGAAATAAACATGTATTTTTATATAACAACATTTTCTATAATTTTATTTTAATCCTTATTCCCATCTAAATATATTACAAATATAAAAAGTTATTTAGTTTTAAACATTTTTCGAACTATATCTTGGTATCTTTGAACAGAAACTTTCCATAATTCATTATAAATATTAAATTGTTCCTGTGCTTTTGCATTTTTAGGATCAAAAAAAATTGCATTTTTTAAGTCATTAACGGCATTTTCATAATCTTTTAAATTACCATAAGCAACCCCTCTTCTGTATAAAGCTTTAACATTATGATTCTCTTTATTTAGTATTTTACTACATAAAGTTAATACATGACCATAATTCTTCCTGATTAAATGACATTCAGCCATGTTATTATATAAAATATGCCTAAGATTCCAAACATCTTTTAGTATAGGTGCATTGAAATCCAATGGTTCTAATGTTATAAGAATTTTACATGCTTTACTAAATCTATAATATGCATCCATGTGTCTTTTCGCTTTGAACAGTTCAACCCCATTATCCTTATACTTTAATGCTACGTTATATTTTTCGTCTAAACTCCATTGCCAAATAGGTTTATAAAATTCTACTTCTTTTAACATAACTTCTAATGATAATAAATCATAGTTGATCCCTTTATCATCTAGTGGAATTTTTATTGTAATTATACTTTGTTCATATAAACTCATAGTTTGAACAGCTCTTTCTATATATTTGTCAACTCTTGAGCAAGCTGCTCCAATAACAATTGATTTTTTTGAATCTTCATCTATAATTTCACTGTACAGATCTTGTTTTATTTGTTTAATTGAAAAATTTAAAGCTTCTAAAATCTTAACATGTATTTTACAAATAGATAATTCTGTTGGTTTTTTAGAAAATTCTTTACGAATAATTTCTTTCTTAACCATTTTATCTAACGATTCCCAAGAATTCATCTTGAAGAATTGTCATCTAAAAATAAATAAAATAATTATTTATGAATATACAAAATATATACAAAAAATTTATTTTAATTTATTTCTTAAAACATTAGATCAGAAATTACAAGATATATTAATATTAACAACAGCAATATAACCTGAAATATATAAAATTAATTATCAGCAAAAATTAATGACGTGGAGAGATATTATTAAATATAAATTTTTAGTTTATTAAGGTTTTAATTTATTATTTAAGTATATGAAAAAATAAATCAAATAGTTAAAATTAGTAAATAAAGACGGGATTGATTAGAAGTTAAATGTAGATAACTCAGAAACTTGTTATTAATGGAACTAATGTTCTAATTCTATTTGCTTTTGCATAAAATAAAAAATACATCAATATATAAACTATTTAAAATTTTATTTATAAATTGTATTCATAGTTTGGGTTGAATTAACTAAAGATTATTTTACTGTATTTTTAAAGATACATATTAATAGATGTAGTTGACCGTTATTGCATACAGAAAGTACCGGCATGCTGTATTCAGAATTTTTAAATTCAATTACGAGTTCAGATATCGGTTTACTATAAACAATATATCTTGCGTACGCATATATGCCATGTGCATATAAGATGCAACACATGAACGCGGAACTATATTGTAAATGCATTTATGAAAAGAGATAAAATAGAACAAGAAAATAGAAAAGATCAGGATATTCATAAGTTGCGCCATGAGTTGAACTCACACCATGCGCAACTAACAATTTAGTTACATATGCGAATAAGAAGAAGCTAGAATACGTCCTCGAACTATAAAATTATACTCTGACAGAAGCAGAGTTAAATAAACCAATAACGTATAGTCGCTAAGCGCGCGTTATAAAGCTGCGGATTCTTCATGCGACAGCGGCGCAACAAAACATAGAAACTGGAACCACCCCACCAGTGAGTCTCTGGTCATGAGCGCTACGGCAGTGTCTGAAGTGAGGCAGTGCAAGCAGCGCGCATTTTAGACGTTGCCAGCGATACGAAAAGATGTCGTCCTTGAGCGGTGACGAGAACAGCGAGATCGTCGAAAACGAACCAGGTATGTCATATACAGACGAGTGGTATCGTCACTTTGAGCGTATAGTATTCTTTAAAACGCCTAAAGAATTCGTAAACTCATGATCGAAAAAGTTAGATCATCGCTGACCGCAGCTGCACGTTGCTGCACGGCATGAACGCCTATAACATAACGCGACCGCCATTGAGCAAATGGCGTCTTACGTACACATATACAAACGACGAGCACGCGATCATTCGTGACTCGAGAACTATACGGCATTATGATTTAAAAAAAGACGTTGTTTGATATATTTAGTCTTTTCGCTTCAGCAGCCAATGCTTTTTGTAGCACATTTGCATTAATTTTATTTGTGTTGTATTTCAGTGAGACGTACAAGATCCGGACGAACTGTTAAATCTATTGCTACCTTGGTGGTCCACAAGAAAACGCCGGTAAAAATATCTTCAACTAGAGTTACTCGTGCCACGAGGACTATTCAAGAGATAGAAGAGGTAAGACGTAAACGATATTTTACATTTTATTTAAGAAATAAATTCCTTAACAGATGTGTTCAAATGGGTCTTGATTTGATAGGAATTACTGGTTTGGTCTGTTACCTAGGAGGTCAGGTAAATATGGACACACTCAATGATATCTTTTCCAGTAGAGATATCTATGTAAGATTTTACGTGTAGACCTTTCTCCTAATTTATCTTTACAGCATAATTTATAATATTTAAAAAAAAAAGAATCCTGTGTAAGGCACTTTTTCAGAATTGTAATAAACCAATAAATTTTATATATTTTTATTTTGATAATTGATTTATTTATAAACATTGTTTTAAATAATATTAATGTATTATTTCCCAATTTAGAATTTAATTTGAAATTTGAATATTAATGACAATATAATTAAGTCAAAATTTAAATATTATAAAATTTATTATTAATGTAATAAATTTTTCATGGATTATAAATGTACATAGAAAAATATTATTTCATTTATGCAGGAAAGTATACCTTTTGAAGAAGATGAAAGTGGACTACCTGAAAATGGAGTCCAGCGAGAACCTATTGATGAAGAATGTGATAGTCCAGCAATTCAGTTACATTTGGATGATACTCATGAACAAACTGAAGAGCAAATAATTGAGAATCAAGATGAAAATATCAATCTACATCAAGAATTTTATGATAATATGGAAGAACTTAATAAGAACGAAGATGAAATTATTGAAACAGAGGGTATGATAATGCAAGAAAGTGAGTTTGAAACAGAAAATATACCTGAATTTGATCCTGATGAAATGAGTGAAGAAGGAAATATAGCAGAACTAGAAACTCTAGCTTCAGTTCGTAATCGCAGAAATGAAATACCATCTAATAGAAATAAAATTAATATTTTAAGAGTTAAAGATTCATCCCAAATGATGGTATGTTTATCATTAAAAAATTTTGAATCGTCAAATATCTTATTAATATTTTTTATTAGATAACTAAAATAACAAACCATCATTGCTTATAAAAGAATTTAAGTAAAATGTATTTTATACATTTTTTAATCTTTAAAATTGTTAATGTTAAATTCATATTTACTAATAATAATTTTATTCCTAGTTATTAAATTTATCTAATTTTTTTTTATTGTGTAGGAAGATCAAATAGAAAGTCAGTGTATTCTTGTAGAAGATGATACAAATCAACACTTTGATATAGATGATGTAGAACAAAATAGAATTGATGGTACTGAAGAATCCGAATTTGATAGAAATGAAGATTGTGATACAATGAATCAAGAGACTGATGTGTTGCAAAATATCTATTCTATGGAAGATAGTGAAGTAATAATTGATAATGAAAAATTTCCAAATGAAGAAATAGAATTTATTTCTGAAAATATTGAAAATGATGTAAATAATTTTTCAAAGCAACCAAATCAAGAAGAAAATTATAGTCAATTGGGTAATATAGAACCACAAGAAGTTATAGAAATAAGTGATCATGATAGTGAAATAGTATTAAAAAAAGTTGAACCTGATACAGAAGCTGTTTCTGAAGATGAACTGCCAACCGAAGCTACTACCAAGGTATTATGAAATATTTATTTATTGAAATATTAATTTTATTCAAAAATCCCTATTTGCATTCTACTTCCTAATCCGGAGTCATTTATTCCTAAATCATTAGCATGATAATCACGAATATGAAGATGTAGAAGAAGTATCAGAAGGTGAATTTTTTCCCAATGAGACAATATTTCAGGTACAAATCTAATACAAAGATTTTAAAATCATAATTTTGTAGTTTCATTGTGTATAGCATAAGTTATTGATGCTGTCTTTGTATTTGAAATTTAAAGAGCATTATCTACCTTTTATATTATAAATATTGAATATTTCTCTTATTTAAAAATAATCTGCAATTATATTTTCATAAATTTTAATTGCATTACATCTAAATTAATTCTAAATTTAATTTAATTAATATCGGAAAATACTTCATATATAAAAATACAAAGATTAAAAAATTTCCATTTATTTATTTATACTATTATAAACATAATAAAATTAATTATTAATTTAACAAGTTAATATAATATGTAATAAGTTTAAACTAAATAACATAAATATAACGTTATTTATTTTCTTGTTATAATTCCCATTTACCTATCCTAAATAATCAATATTAATCTAGTTTAATATTTTTACTTACTATTACAATTTTCTAGGAACCAGAAACTGAAGCTGTCTCTGATGAAGAATTACCTGCAGCACAGCCAGCTGATCTTGGAGAAACTGAGTCGGTTTCTGAAGATGAACTACCTCTTGAAAGTGAGAAAAAGAGAAAAGGAAATAAAACTAACAAAAATCTTGAAAAAAAAATTAAATCTAATGTACAAAGTATGTAGTACAATTCACGAATCTAAGGTTATAACATTTTATATCAATTTTATTCATTTATATTTTATTTAGGTAAACGTAAAAGAACTGCTGAAGGTGAATATGATCCCAGTTCACCAACATCAGAAAATAATGACGAAACTCCTGCCAAAAAAATAGCTATATCGGATATTAATTCAAATGAAAAATCAGAAGTGAAACCTGCTTCACCAAAAAAGAAAACTTTACCAGAGTTAGAAAAATATTGGAAAGCAGTTAATGATGATCCCACAGATTTTACAGGGTGGACATATCTTTTACAATATGTAGACCAAGAGGTATAAATTACCATTTATTTGTTGTACATGAATTTATATAAAAATCGATCAAATAGTTAAAAGTCATTACGTATTTGTAATAGCTTAATATAATAAAACTATATCAGTTTTCTACATTTTTATATTGCTTTCAATAATTTTACAGTATTTTAAGAGAAATTATCTTGAACACGGACATACTTGTTTTACGAAATTAAATATAGTTATTGATTTATTAAAAGCAGATAAATATTAAAATAATTATTTTTATAAAATATTTCATAAAATATTTTACAGAATGATGCAGAAGCAGCTCGCGAAGCTTATAATAAATTTCTACAGCGATATCCGTATTGTTACGGATACTGGCGCAAGTATGCCGATTACGAGAAGAAAAAGGGTGATCCTGAGCGAGTTCAAACGGTGAGTACTTTAGTACATATACCATTGAGAAGTATATTAATTATCATTAAAAAAAAATTTATCGTGTTTATTAAATTATATATATATATATATATATATATATATATATATATATATATATATATATATATATATTTATTTATTTATTTATTTATTTATTTATTTCTATGTAATTATACATAAAATATCTAATGTAAAAAAAACTAGTTCGAGGTAGGAAGGCGCGTGTGGACTATGTCGTGCACGCACGTAAATTATGGTTTTCCCTTCCAACAGCTTAGCACGTCTTGCGGCACCTATGCGACTCTTCGTTTACCGATTAGCCACTCGTGCGACATATCAACTAGAAAGTTATTTACGTTATAGTTTATTATTATCAACATTATATTATTTAATACTACAATTTAATCGCAACTACTATTACAATGCTATAGTATATATACATAATACGTAAGTCGGGCTCAAGCTTGTCTCCTTATATTGTGCCATTGTCGCTTATCAACTTCGTGAAATTATTATCATTAATGCTATTACGATTATTATTATTATTCTTACTATTATTAATATTATTATTATTATATTATTACTATTACTACTATTATTACTACTAATACTACTATTACTACTACTATTACTATTACTACTACTATTGCTATTACTATGTGCGTGCTATCTTATTGTTATGCATCATGTATAAGCGTTTGTATTCTTATTACCAATCGTTATATGAGAGACACAAGTATTGTAAAATATTTTTATAAGAAAAAAAATATCGTACTATCAAGACTCTTATCAATGTATGATGGGAGGGTTTTACTTTGTCTCGGAAATAAAGTAGTCTCGAGACAATGACTTGGGACAAGCACACGTGCGGGCTACAGAATCAAACACAGAAAGAGAGGGAAACAAGAACTATTGAGAGAGTGGCAATAGAAGAGAACACGCGGAGGCACTTCGATCGCGGAACTCTTCCCCGACTTTAAAGGTGAATGCACAATGCTCTGCAATCTGTCTGTGTTAATTACGGCTATTTATTTACAGTACGCGTAAAGTACGTGAGTATGACACGTTATATGAACAAACAAACAAAGTAATAAAATAAAATAAAACACCGTTTACGCTTAAGCAGTGCTATATCATATATAGGTTTCTTTAAGATAACATTAAGATATACATACAATTATACTGTACCGATCTTCCCGCCACTGACCCAAGCAGAGATCGGTTTCCTTCTTCTTTTCCAAACGATAATCGTTTTTATCGATTCTCATGCAGGTCTTCGATCAAGGTTTGAATTCCATTTCTCTCAGTGTCGACTTATGGCTTCATTATATCAATCACTGTAAAATAGTTTACGAAAATGAAGAGGAAAATATGAGAGAGCAGTATGAAAGAGCCATCCAAGCTTGTGGTCTTGAATTCCGGTAACTAATATTAATACAATTTATTAAATTTAAGATTATGTTTGTTTTTTGAACTTCGATTTATATTTTATAGAAGAAAAATATATAAAGAATATTGTTTGCTTATTCATGTGCAGAAGTAATAGATTTAATACCTATGCTCTTTGAATCTTAAACATATATTTAGAATAATACTAATTGTTTTAAAAAATAAACTGAATTCCATTCAGTTTTCCAGTAATCAGTTTTTGATTTAAGAAAATTGTCAGTGATAAATTTTAATAATGTATCAGTAGAATCATTATATATCATTATATTATTTTAAATAAATAATTATGTACATAAAACTGATTAAATAAAATTTTAAGTAACCATGATATTTTTGTGAATTATTTATCGTAATCTTATTTTTATTATAAATCTTTTGAATTGCTTAAGAAATTAAGTACAGATATTGTAAAAATTAGATAATTGGTCTAACTATGTATTTCATTTATAACTAATACACTATTAAATATCAGTTACAAGAATATATTTAATTAATGTATTGATATATATTTATAATAAATATTTTAGTTCTGTATTATTAATATTATCAATAACTGCTTTCAGGTCTGACAGGTTGTGGGAGAGCTACATAAAATGGGAAACTGAGAATAAGCGTTTCAACAAAGTTATGGGTATCTACGACAGGCTGTTGAATACACCAACTCTAGGATATATGTCACACTTTGAAACATTTCAGGAGTTTGTAACATCTAATAGTCCAAATCGTATCCTAAGTGTTGATGATTTTTTATCGTTACGTGCTGAAGTGAAAGCCATTCTAAAATCGGAAGAAGGTTCTGCAGGCACGGATGATGCCCCACCAGGTGAGGATTTACCCCCAAGTGAAGTTTCACCTACAGATGAGGAAACTCGTGCTATTCGTGAGAAAATAATTAGTAGCCGAAGAAAAATGCACAAAACCAATGTCAATGCTGTAGCTGCAAGGTGGACCTTTGAAGAAGGAGTAAGTCTTATTAAATACTGGAAATACAAATTATTAAAATTCTATTTTATATCTTGTATTTACTATAATATAATTTTTAACAATATAACAAGTAATTATCTCAATTTTAATTAAAATATATATTTTCAAGTTGTTATAATATTAATACTACTTATATATGTTATAAAAAATTTTAATTTATAAAATGTTACTGTTATTTGCTAGAATCACAATGTTTGTGTATAATAGGAAGGTAACAATTTTAAAGTAAAGTAATTTATTATTTAAAATACTTATATAAAATTTGCTTAAAAAATATATATTTTTCTTAATTTTCTATTAAATAAATAACAATCTTATCAATTATCTTTATAATTCATCTAGTGATTATTTCATATTTACTTTCACATTAATAATTTATAATTTTTTTAAACATACATATATAGATTAAAAGGCCCTACTTTCATGTGAAACCTTTGGAAAGGTGTCAATTAAAGAATTGGAAAGAATACTTAGATTATGAAATCGAACAAAAAGATCAAGGTCGAATAATTATTTTATTCGAAAGATGCTTAATTGCATGTGCATTATATGATGAATTTTGGATGAGGGTTAGTCCAAATATTTATATTTAATTAAGTATTTATATTTATGTTTAATTTCATTAACCATTAATTTGCTTAATATTTATGTCAACAGTTCGTAAGATACTTGGAATCATTAAAAGGAGATAATATTGATAAAATTCGTGATGTGTATACAAGAGCATGTACTGTTCATCATCCGAAAAAACCAAATTTACACTTACAGTGGGCAACGTTCGAAGAAAGTATGAGTAATTTTGACAAAGCCGCCAGTATTCTTGAAAACATTGATGGTATTATTCCAAACATGTTACAAATAGCATATCGCAGAATAAATCTAGAGCGTAGAAGAAACGACTTAGATAAATCCTGTGCTCTTTATGAATCTTATATTACAAACAGTAAAAATAGGACAATTGCAAATAATATAGTTGTAAAATATGCTAGATTTTTATGTAAAATTAAAAATGACACAGATAAAGCTGTCAAAGTTTTATTAAAGGTAAGTTTTTGTCAATCTGTATTTTAATAATTATTTGATTTATTTAACATATTCTATAAGCATTAATTTCACAATACACTTTTTAAAGAATCAAAACATAAATATTATAAAGTATTTTTGACTATTTAATATTTTTATCGTGAACTATTAGTATTATAATTATTTTTTTTTAGGCAACTGAAAAAGATAAGGATAATCCTAGGTTGTATCTACAATTAATAGATCTTGGTCTCCAAAGAAATCCTATTGACACTGATGAAGTTATTAGTTATATGGATTTATTCATTGATCGTGAACATGCTGATGCAGAACAACGAGTTTTGTTCGCCCAGCGTAAAGTCGAGTTCCTTGAAGATTTTAGTGATGATATTCGGCAAGTTTTAAAGGCTCATGAACAATTTCAAAAGTGTATAAAACAAGCTAAAGAAAGAAAGAAGACGAAAGGTGATGACAGTAAAAAGTAAGTTTTTTACAAATTTGTTCAGATATTTTGTAATAAGTGTAATTTAAATTAAAAAAAAATTAATAAATTACCAAAAATGTTTATAAACTTATTTATTTCATAATTGCATTCGTAATGCGTAACTTCGAACTTGTCAGTAATTCGATTAAATTTTTATTTTAATAACTATATATTTTTTAAAGATAAAAATGCAATATATTTTATTTAAAATTTAATGATTTCCAGTGATGCGACACCACCAAAGAAAACCAAGACGGATCCATCGAGTACACCTCAAGCCCAAGTTGGCTCTCAATCTTACCAATACAGCAGCAGCACAACTCCTTATCAATCTCAACAACAATTTCAGAGTAGTCAATATGGAAGTCAAAGTGGCTACCAGCAAGGCTATCAACAATATGCACCACCGACAGATCCTAATTATGCCAACTACCAAAATTGGCAATATGGTCAAAGTGGTCCCCAAGCATATGCTCCATATAATCAGTGGGGATCTTACAATTATTACTAAGATCACCGGGAATGCTGATCGTGTAGATCTGAGAGTAATGTTTCGTTAATCATATATTGTACATTTTCGCCGACTCTGATTACGCAGAGTTTTTTCTAATTCCAAAAAACGAAGTTTTGCTGACGTATGTGCATTTACGTTGTCCGAAAGTTTGTTACGTGATTCTCTCGATCTCGGATCAATACTCTCAAACTCGATGTCGATGCCATCACTGTATATTTGCGATTTATCCTTAAACGTTTATTAAATATAATGTGTACATTTATTTTTTCTTCCGACTGATCGGTTTTATAACCGCATTTGTTCCCTTTTTCTTTTTTCTTCCATCTATTCTTTACATTTTTAAGTAACAATTTCGTTTCATTTATTATTTTCATTCTTCGATTTGTTACTGATTAGAAACAAACATATTCGATGCCGTTCTTACATTCGACGTCGTTGAGCTCGAGAAACTAATAACCCTTTGAATGACGAGAAAAAAGAAAACGTCCGTCTTTGCAGATCCTACATTATTACGCATGTGACACAACACACGATACATTGTTATATTAAAAATAATGAAAAGGGTATCGTATCGCGTTATTTTAATTCTTTCCCTTGAGTCATTATAGGTTTATTTTATAAAAACATATTCGTTCAATGATACAATCAAATATAATAAATTTGAAAAATATTTGAATGACAATTGGAGAGAAAATATCTTCAGAAATTATTCACTTTAATCGCATACTTTGAAATTTCTTTAAAAAGTAATTAGATTCATATAAATTCTTGTATAGTTTTCGTACAACTGTATTATGAAATATATGATCAATAAACTTTTTTTATTTGAAAGCTAAAAAAATATTTAATTGTTTTTATTCCATCTTTGTTTTAAAATACTATCACAATTGAGTTACAATTATTTTAAAACGTATTTTAAAAGTAGCAGTATTTTTAGTATCTATTATTACAAATTATAAATGCATTAAAGCTTTAGTTTGGCACATTTTTGTTTCATCTGTATAAAAAGTATAATTATAATTTGCAGAATACAATAATTAACATATTTTACAATTTTATAAAAATAATAAAACTTACAATTAACAAATTATTTTATATCTCTAACGTTTAATAAAAAAATGGTAAATAAACATGTATTATAATTTAATTTGTCATGTTACAAATATTTTTGGTTTTGAAGTTATTCAATATTTATAACTTATTTTTTCTATGAAACATTACGTACTTTAATTAATATCTAAATTAGCGTTTTTTTAAGACGCTATAATTTAATATTATTGAATATTATTTTCATCCCCCTACTTATAATATTGAAACCTATTTTTATTAGGTTATTTTGAAACTATTGATTTTACAAACATAAACTTTACTAATAAAATTAATTTAATTGAAAAGTTAAGCAACTACTGCACTTGTAACCATTTTGTTAACTCCGCAAGTCCCCTCTCCTCGATAAATTCTATAATAACCTTGTTCACCCCAATGTGAACCCCAACTATTCTTGATCAACCAATAGGGCATTTGTTTCTTAAAAATTGGGTATGCTGTAAAATAATATATGTTTTAATATGTTAATTTAAAAATAAAATATAAGGAGTAAATATATTTTATTAAAAATATTTAAATGTTTAAGCTTTCATTTTTTTCAATGAACAAGTATGTGCAATTTAAAATAAACATTATAAATATTCAATTACAAATTATATATAAAGATTAGAATTGATAAATTATTTTAAATATCTAAGCAAATATTCATAAAAGTAAAACTGAAATATATTAATACAAAAATGAGAATATCAACTCACATTTTATTCCATAGCCCACAATAAGAACACCATGATCGAGGTCATTTGGATTGCAAAGAAACTTGTAGGGATGTGAAATTCCACCCACATAAAACATCATAGCATTTGCATTGATACCTACAGACATTGGCCCATTTTGTACAAGCCACTGAGCCATTTGTGTCTCATTTGCAGTAATATTTAATCCAGATACCACACTAACTTCTATTTTATTTTTATTTAAGTGACATTTTTCATTTTCTGCTTCATACGGATAATCAGTTTCTCCTTCCAAACCCCCTAATTCTTCAATAGCTCTATAAGCAGTATCTGGTAAGCCTCCATTACAACCATCATCAAATTTATCACAGTCTATCAATTGTTGCTCCGAAAATGACAACAATTTGCCATATTTAATTGCATATTGACCTTCAACATTACCAGTCACTGAAAATGCCCAACAAGAGCCACACTCACCTTGATTCTTAACTGATGTCACAGCATTATAATGCCGCCAGTCATACTCTATAGGTAATTCAATATCTGGAATATCAGCTTTTGGCATTGGTATATCATTATCTGATTTTAATGATTGCTTCAAACCTAAATATTTAGTTTTAAATTCTGTTTTTGTAAGATCTGTAAATTGTGTAACTCCATAAATTCCAGTTCCTTGTTCATTTCTCTGTAATTCTTCAATCATATCCAAATTTTCCTTAAAAATTTTGAAACGCCTTTCTTTTTCTTCTTGAGTGTCATAATTTTTATTAAATTTATTAATGAATTCATTAAATAATTTCACTTCTTTCAATTGTCTTGATAGTTGTAACATATGTTGACTATAATTTTTACCTTTAAGAGAACGTTTTTTTCTTTGATTTTCATTACAATTTACAGTTACTTTTGGATTCCCTTTATCTAACCAAGGTTGTGACCATACTTCAATAATACATTCTTTAACCATTTCCTCAGTTTTAAGTTGACAATTCTCCTTGACACCTTTTGGACATGTACTAACACCAATATCAACTATAATTTTATATTTCAAACCAGATACAACTTGAACTGTCACTTGTTTAACATTACTGATTATGGGTTCATTAGTTCCAGAATAATTTTTGGAATACTTTTGTAGCCCAAGTAGTACGTATTCTTGTATTTTTGGATCATTTACATCATAAGGCCTTGGATTTCCCACCATTTGCCTTTTAAATCTCATATTAGATTTTTGTTTATTTTTACAGCTATAATGTAATAATTTTGGTGATTGTAAAGGTTTTTTCTCGTTAGTGGAAATATCAAATTTACAAATTTGAATAGAATCTAATATTACTTCATCTAAACATTCAGTTGAATTATCTTTTTTATTACAATCAGTAGGAGCAACTTCAGCAATTATATAATAAATAATACCATGGTTTTGCTTTTCTTTTTTAGAATCTATTATATCAATAACCTGTTTCCTTTTAATATTATCATTAAGATCATCTAGTAATTTAACAGCTTCTATTGCCAATTTTCTTAATATCGATTTATTTTCTAAAACTTTTGTTGATCTTTTTGATCTTACAGAATGTACCATATGTTTTACAAATAGATTTTCAGGTTTTTGAATATCTTCATTTATATCTAGTGTTTCCTCCAAAAACTGTTTATTACAGTTGCTATTAATTGATTTCTCAGTATTCTTAGTTTTTAGTCTTACTGCTTTAACAAACTTGTTAGTTACAGGAATACCAAAATTCTGAGAACTTGAAGTTTCAGTTTTAATTGGAACATTAAAATCTTCTAGAAATTTATCAAATTCTCTCATTTTATCAGAAAGTTTATTAATTTGCTCGTTTTCATTTTTATTTTGCAAAATAACTTTTCTTTGAGGCAGTTCTTTTGTAGCCTCAATTTCTATAGTTACTTCAATTGAATCTTTAGTAGATATGTCCATGGAAGGGACACGGACAACTTCTTGTGCTTCTTGAGCTATCTGATCATAAAATTCAATTTTTGTTGAAATATCATCTTCTTTATGTAAAGAGGCTGACTGAATTAATAGCAAATGTGGATCAACGCTTGCACTTACTTCATTATCAGTATTTAGCAAATCAGTACAATTATTTTTTATTATTTTACGGCTATTCATTTGCCATGGATTTTCTTCAAGCATTACAAGACATAATTTAATTGGTAAATTTGACTGTAAAGAACATTCTGAAACTTCAATGTGGGAAGTTCTTAAACAATTTGACTCTCCAATTTCCATTAAAAGTTGATATTGTACAACACTAAGACCTGGTGGCACTACACGAGTGACCCTAACAATACTAATCAATTTGTGCTTAAAATCACTGATACCAGCTTCATCCATGGAATTCAATACTTGATCTCTGAATGCTGATAATCCAGATAATGATGGATTTAAATCATATGGGCATCCTGGACAATATTCGGATTGAGTAGCTCTAACAGCAATAAATGGACGATCATTGTGATCTACTGAAGTTTGCACGTCATGATCTAAGCTAATACTCTGATTGGTTATTTGTTTTTCAAGATTTTCAATCACCTCTTGACTTTGAACATTCTTTTGCTTTGCCTTAGATTGCAAATACATGCACTGTAATGAGTTTTCAATAACATCGATAACACCATGCTCATGTTGACGCATATCTAAAGTACAGACTTCGTGAGAACAAGTTTTTTGATTAATTCTACAAATTGGCTCCAAATTTAATGTCAATCTATAAATAACATATGGTGGCTTTGCCTATAAGAATGTAAAAAAATTTATTATCAAATGAAAGATTTGAACAAATATTGTAAAAAAAAATAAAAATTAAAAGCTTAAATATATTTATAAAACATAAATAAAACAATAATTATATATTTATAAATATCTTCTTTATATTTCATTAATTTTTTTTCTAGTTCATTTAGTTTATTTAATTTATTTATTAATAACAAAAATATAAAAACAAGATGTATTTTTTACATTAATGAAGTAGACAAAACACATATGGAAATTAGAATCTTCAAAATATATTTAAATAAATTGAAAATAATTAAAAATATAATAAACATAAATAATTTTATAGCTTAATATTTTATAACTATAAATAAAATTATCAAATAAATATTTTGATTTATTGATTCTTAAATATTGTATTTTATTTTTGAAGCGTGTATCAAACATTTAAATTCATAAATAACTTTAAATGACCATTGATCAACTACTGTTAATCAAGTATTTAAAAAAATGTTGTAACTATTGAAAATAAAATATGTACAATAATGAAATGAAATAAAAAATAAAATAATAAAATATACAATGTACGTCCAGCTTTTAATGATAAATATGAATAAAATGATAATTTAATGAAACATAAAGTAGAAAGCTAAGTAAGAAATAATTATTACTAACAAACTTAAAAATTAAAATTGTTCTTACTAATAAAAACTGTCAAATATAAAGACGACATTATAGATAAAATAGATAATTGAAATTATTTACAATTTCAAATGAGAATACTATTACAAGATGTAATCAAAGTACATATTTATATTTTCAGCAAGTTGAAAAGTTACTTCACTATCAAATTAAGAATTGTGATTCAGCGTAATTCCTGTAGTTATATTGTACGAAGATTACAATATATATAGTAGAAGGAAACTAAGCCTGCGAACGCGTAATAGGGAGGGATAGTCATAACTCTCTGTTCATATTATATAGTATTATAATGGGTAAAAGGAATTAAGCAGTCATTACCAATTGTTGAGCGCTGATGAGGCTACCATCCTTGTACGACTGTCGAGTAGGTGAATTATTGTTGAGAAAGTTCAAGGCACTCCGAATGAGAAGACTTGAAATGTCATTCAATGGTACGTTACTGGAGAAGCTTGAGGAGTCGTCAATCTGTATCTGAGCGAATGCATAACCGAACAATAACAACAGTAGTCCAAGTATGGAATAATTTGTATATTTCATTCGCGAAAATGCCATATTTCGGTACTGCGCATACATGAATATTATATAGCCTTTAAATCAACTTGCTACCTCCTATATTACTCTTACTAAGATAACCACTGAGGGACTACTGAATCCAGATGCTTTATTTGATTCTATCCGATCTGAATATGAATTTAGCTACTGAAGCGCAATCTACGGGATAAAACGCAATGGTACGCACTGATTTCTGTTGTTTAATGGGCTGTCACTTCACATGGATATATGCATAAACGCGTTACGCATGCGCATCTGCATATTATCAGTTACGTTTATATACGTAGGCGAACATGCGCGCGTGGAAAGTGAGAAAAAAAAGAGGAGGATGCGATAAACAAGTAGTGAAGCTCGAGCGGAAGCGATAGAAAGGAAGCAATTAAAATGTGGATATAAAGAGAAACGACATTGACTTTTTCATTAAATATATAGAAAATGGGAAAAAGAGGATTAGTGATACATTAATGCTCCAACTACTTGACAGCGTGTACTCTTACATTTAATTTGTTATTTATACAAGTATAGCTTGTTTTTCGAATTACATTTCTATATCTCTTCTTAGTTTTACACATAAACATTTTATTTATACTTGAGAATTAAAAAAATATGTAAAGTATGTTTTACTTTCTCTATTTCATTGATAATAAAATTGTTTTATTAAATTTATTTTATATCTTTTTAACTTATTCTTTAACATTTATTGTAACTTAAAAGCTATTCAAAGCATGCTATATCCTAACCAAACATAAACTATGATTACATTTAAATTAACGCTTTAAAAGAAAAATTTTATTAAAAAAAATTTTTTTAATTTGTGGAATTATTGTTTTTATTTAAAATTAAAATTTAAAATGTATTTTATAATATTTGTCAAATCAAAGATATTTGATAATGGCATCACAAAAAAAAGATTTATCAACAAAAAATTTATAAATACGCAATAAAATTATGCCATTTATATCAATACCTTATAATCGCATTTACAAATTAATATGCGATTTATTTTACAAACATATTTAATTCATACGATTTACTCTTATAACATAGTCCGCAATATTAAAGATTAAAGATTAAATAGATAATATTAAAGACTAAATCATAACTAGAATGTTTACTAAGATTTAAATCGATGCTGCATTTTTTAAAGACAAATATTTGAATAATAATGCAGATACGAAATTAATAAATTACATTATTGATTTGTGAATGATATTTGCGTTTAATTTGCATTTAATTTATAAAAGTATGAGTCCATTTTAGAACTACTGATAATTACTACATGAATTTACGATTATCTGATAAAACTTTATATATCAAGTTACTTTTCTTTTAATATATTTTTTGTACTACTGATGATATAAAATCGTAATAGTTTATTTCAATAATTTTTATCTAATCTAAAAAAAATAACTAAAAAGGTATTTATTTTTAAAACAAAATATAACATTATTATTTATATATTGTCATTTTTTACAAAATATTTTTATTTCAAGATAAATTACTTTTATGTTTTGAGGAACTCAATTATGTAAATATATAAAGTAACAATTAATGAACGATTGGATTGACTCAGCAACTTGTCATTAGATTTTTTAATTTGATTAATAAAATCTCTTAAACTTTAAAATGAAATGCAATTTATTTGAAAAACATTAAAACTAATTTAAACAATAACAATACTTATATTTCTTTAATAGTATAACATTTATAATTATACCATTTTCCAAATCTTTTAATTAAAATATATATTGATAACTTTTAATCGATAAATAAATATAAATTGAATTTATAGCATTTAAAATTACCATATTTATATTTATAACTTTGTTATTTTTGTCTCACTCACTTCCATATTAAGTGAATATATGGATATATACGTAAATGTGGGTTATACGATGAATAAACATTATATTAAAAAATGAAGAAAAAAACAAAAAAATCGATTTACACATATTTTATGAAAGAATATTTCGGTATTTTATCTGATTTTTGATAAATAATTAAAATATGGGTATGGAAAATTTTATATCAAATTAAACACTCCTATTTATTTAGATCTATTCATTTTTCTAACTATTAATGTGAGTTTTTTTATTAATAACGAAACCACAGTTAATCTCAAAAAGTAAAATTTTTTAAAAATTGGACTAGTTATAATTATTATTAATCCTTCATTATTATAAACAATTCTGATAATTATGGTTTTTTAAATCTGCCATAATTGCAAAAGATATGTAGCGTATATGCGTAACTTACAAATGAGCAAGGAAACAGAAATTTTAATAAACACTTTTTTTTGTAAATATTTTTAACAAAAGATTAAATTAAATAGAAAAAATGTATTGTATTTTTATATTATAAATTAAATTAAAACGAAAAATTCTAAAAATCTATTTGTTTTTTTCGTGTTTTTAAATATACTTCTGATGAAATGAATTTTATTACATATTTCATATTTTTAAAATAATAGAAAAAATAAAAACAGATAAATTAATATTCGTTGTTACGAAATTAATTATTAGCAATATATAAATTTAAATTTTACTATAATAACTTTACATATCACCTATATATTTTATATAAGATTATATAATGTACATTAAAAATTATTTATTATAATAGCAATTTTTATCAACCGTCAATCAAAAATTATATTCCGACAGTAATATTATAAATTTGTTAATAAAATGTAAAACTAGTAATTAATTAAATTTTTAAATATTTAGTATACGTCATATAGTATGTTATATTTTATATATATCATATTTTGTTATACGTATGATAAATATATTGTTGGTAATTTCATGCACTATTGCATACTATACATATGGAGATCCATGCATTGTTGTAAGACGACTATAGTCGTACAACCAGAAATTGTTATACATACTATAATAATACAGACAATGGAGTTGATAAAGTAAAGCACACATATTTTCGCCAAATCGTATTATCAATGAAATATTAAGAATGAAATGATAAAACATCTACTTTGAACTTCCTTTTAAAGAAAATTGTTTTATAATAAAGAAATTAATACATTTTTTATATGAAATTTGAAATTAATTGTAAAGAGAAGCATTACATTTATATAAAATTAATTTTATTTAAAATTTTTCAATGCTTACATAGATAAAATATTTTTTAATATGCACAAAATTAATTTTATTTTATTTAATAAATCGTTGCATTACAGATCGATAAGAATTACTATTCTAAAAAAATCATTATTTTGATTTATATAAATCGTAGATCAGTTTTGTAAATATATAATGTTTATATTATATTTTTCCACTTGATTTAGGGTATTTACTATTTAATTAATATTCTAAATATAATATTAAAATTTTTATGTTATTACGACTGCTTATCGATATAAAAAGCTTAAAATATTTAAAAAATTAAGAATTTTTTACTGTATGAAATAAAAATATATTTAATATTTTATAATAATATCAACAAAACTTCCCGTGCTTTTAATAATAGACCTGATTGTCTTCTAAATATCTCTTATTATTTACTATGTAAGATATAGCAACAATAATTAAAATTTATTGCAAATATAATACAAACTTAAACTCGACATGACGAAAGCACAGCCAGTTATGTAAATGCTACTAATAAAAAATTTAACAGATTTGAATGATAATACACATTTTTTATTAGTATTTTCTCCTCTACTGCTGACGATCCAATCGCATTTCATATTTTAAATAATATATAATGTATTCTTTTAATGGATAGTAAAAGTAATAACATACAACAATGCCATACTGATAACATACGCTAGTACAAAACATTCGATTGTCTCATTCATATTTTACCCCATAAGAGGCTAGTTTTGATTATTAAATAAAATAATAAAAATGACAGTATAAAAATTAGCAGAGAAAGATAACAATATTTTACTTAAAATACTACGAAAATACAGTATATCGTATGAATAGCTACGTTTGAGCCAGCAGGCAATTATGCAGCAAGACACCATCATTGGCTACATTAAATTATTAAATTCTTTACTATATTCCATTTATTTTTGTACATATAACGTATATTTATTCAATGGTATTTACTATATATATTTATTCCATAATTACCTACAATATTATGTAAGATATGCGATATAAATATTTGTATATATAATACTTACGAAAATTAATTTCAGTAGTTATAAATAATATAAAGTAAATAGTATATACGATTTATGAATAATTATAATTTATGTATTTTTTGAGTTGTTAGAATTATTATTAATCTCAAGAAAATGATTTATTTATATGTACATATTTAATTATACAATTATTATGCAGCATGGTAAAATAGATTTTTCTTATTCGGTATATTTGATTTTTATAATCTTCTATTTATTACGGCTTAATTATGAAAATATCTAAGTAAGATTTTATAAAATTAAAAAAATTTTAAATAATATATTATAAGAAAATTTGAAATTCATGATTATGTAAAACGCAATATTTTAATTATTATTTGATTAATAGACTCTAATTTTAAAAAGTTAGTTTTTTATATTTAATATTTATGAAAGATTTACTGTTAAATAAATTATTAATTTTCGTTATTAAATTAAATTAATAATTGAATAGTTAATTAATTATTACATAATTATATATTTTCAATGATTTTCATTTATAATTGTAAGTTAATTTAAGTATATTAGAAAAAAAATACTCGTTAAAATAAATGAAATGTATTTAGTAAAAATGAAGCATCAAGATGATTATCCATATAATCGGTTTCAATATTTCATTGGATTCGTAGTTTATTTATTCAAGGAAGTTGTTACTTGCAATAGAAATATTATAATGTATTCTCTTATAATTGTGTTTCGATTTCTTCCACATTTCCACATTAGACAGTGTAAAAAAACTATTATTTAATTCTTTAATTGTCTTCAAGTTCCAAATAGAGTTTAAACTTTTACAGTTTTCCTGAAATGTATTTTGATGAAAACTTTCGGAAACAATAATTGAATTAATTGATAGTTGTTATTATATCGATAAGATAAAGAACAAACTAAATTATACAGACCATAACAAAACGTCATAAAAGTACTCGCGGTTATTTTATATTTAAAATTCATGAAAAATAGATTTATCTAAGTGCATTAATTTCTTATGGAAACAATTAATCGCTTGTATTAATGGCTATGTATAGATTATAAATGACAATTTGTTTAACGTAGTATAATCTAAATATTGTTTATTCATTGTATTCATTTGATAAAATAAACTTTATTAATCACCATATGTTCAGCTGAACAATGATAACAATAATAAATAAAACACAATCTTAAATAAAATTATAGAATATGACATGATGGATAAAATTAGTATTAAACGAAGAAATTTACATTTTTGATTGTTGAAACAATATATTTCCATATATTAAAAGCTAAATAATAATTAATCATTTCTTTATGATAAAATTGAAATATTAAAAAAAATCTTTTATCCAGTTAAATCTTTAAATACTTTTATTAATCAAGTTATTTTCATTGAAGTTCATTTTATTATATAAATAATTACGCATATTTTCTAATATAAATTAAAACATACTTGTTAATGTTATAGTATATTCTAAATGCTTAAATTTTATATTGAAATGTAATATAATCAGACTTAATAAATTAAAAAAATTAATTTAAATAATAGTTCACAATTCTATGTAAATAAAAAATTATTTTTATTTAATTATTATAGTCACTTTTTCTATGCGCAATATAATTTTGTTACATTTTAGTTTCTTTGCTTTACGTATATATTAATTAATTATTATATAAAGAATATTCAATAAATTAGTAATTATTTGTATATACATTATTAAACTATTCAATAATTTAACAATATCTAATACTTTTAAAAAATTAAGCTAAACAAAAACTAGAAAATAGTATATTTAAAATGTAATTGAAATTACTAATGTATATATATTATAATAATAGGCTTTGCATTTCATTGAAAAAAATATTATAAATAATGGAAAACCTAACTAATGTAGCAATTATACATAAATTTTAATTATTATATACTTTTGAATAATTTATAAGACAAGTAATTATAGAAGATTACGTATAAAAAATTAAATATCATTATAATTATGAAATAGACTATTATTCTCTTTGCAGAAACTAAACTTGATTTTATGTTAATAAATAATAATAAATAATAATTATAAATGATAATTGTAAATAGGCAAAATATAAATTAGTCTTGTAATTTTCTTTGGTTTTACAATATAGTGTAAAAATTAGTTTGAATTTGAAAAGATTGAAAGTGATAGGGTGAAATACGACAAATCATTTCAAAATAAAATATAATAAGTGTATAAAGAAATTAAAAATCATTATTATGCTGTTAAAAGTAATTTTTAAAAGTGTTTTTCGTTCTATAAAAATAAATTGATTTAAACCGTCAATTTTTTAAATATTAGAATCTCTTCCTTTATTTCTAATTACATTTTTTCGATTTGCTGTTCTGTGTACTTTATTAAAACTGACAGTTCCTCTTTTTACCTTCTTCTCTCTTTCTTTTCTTTGTGTTTCTCCGGCATTTAATTTTTCCTCTTTGCTTGAGAAAATCTATCTATCTCCATACCATTGTGTGGCTCCTACATTCTCTCTTCTTTGTGAAGATAGTCAATATTAAATGCGCTAACTTAGTTGCGCACGAGACTCAAAAGCGATTACTTGTATTGAAGGTAAAGAATAGTTCGTAAATATAACGGTTGTAAAATTGATTTCAAATGGTACAGCGATGAGAATAAAGAATAAAACCTTATAAAAAGCGAAATCTCACGACTATTATTATTAACCAGATTTGCTTGCTGGTTTATAGCATATTCCTATTTTATGGGTATGAGTGAAATCGTGCATCTAAATGTTGGAGGAACGAGGTAACCGAAAAATTCAATATATTTATAAGATCGTAGAAACACTTAAATACAAACTAATGCATCTGTATATTTTATTAATATGATTATTTAAATTATAGATTTTTTAGGCTTTCCGTTCCATTTTTTGTTACATAGTATTACTTGGTTATATTGTTCTGATAAACCAATATGTGTTCTAATGTTACATTTTATTAACAATAAAATTAGAGTATTTGTAAGTGTACGAAATTATTCTGTATCATTTCATTTGGCTCAGACATTATCATTAATTTCACTGTATGAATTAATGAAATTTAAATAATTATTTAAATTTTTTATTAATAAGGATTTATTCAATTTGTAAATATTTTTCTTCAAATCCTTATATTTAGTTTTATATTAATTCTACCCTTGAATGGTTTTAGAAAATTTTATAAAACATATTAATAATTTATAATAAATTAAATAATAGTTATTATTGAAATATTGTTAAAATTTTGTAAATATTATTAACTTTATATATAAATGATTCCAATATAGATGAAATTAAATTTTTTACATATCAATATAATATGTAGAAAATATTTAAAATAAATTTTTTTAATATCAATAAACATAAGTTCTAATTTAAAAGAAATTTAATTATTATAAATTAGTAATATCAAATTTTAATTTTAATGCTATAGAACCCATATGTAAGAAACAAGATTATTATATTAAATAATACAATTGTATCAATGTTATTGTATATTTAGTATAGATTATTACATATGGAGTAAATTATAAGTAATAAATAATCGTACATTGTAAAGTACAATATAAATGTAGAGTAATTTTCAAAAATAAATAAATAGATTTTTTAAACGCTTATTGTGTTCAAATTTATAATTTCAAAGAGTAATATTTTTATAGTTCTAAGCTAATAATATATTAAACTTAAATGTCTGAAATTATTAAAATATGATTAAAAAATATAATCAAAATATTTTGGTATGGGTTGTCTTTTTTAAGATATTCGCTTCTGTAAATAACGGTTTTATATCAACAGATAATTAAAATTTATTTCCTTTTATATTCATTTCTTGTTTTATTCCATATATATGGAACATAAAATTTCTCTACAATAATTCATATTTATGTAGAAGAAGACAAATGATGCCAACTCTTTTAAAAAAAAAATATATTAATTTTGTATTTTAGATTTTCTACTTCTCGTCAAACTTTATCATGGATTCCTGACTCATTTTTTACTGCATTATTAAGTAATCGTATTGCAAGTAGAAAAGATGAAAGTGGAGCACTGTTTATTGACAGAGATCCAAAGATTTTTTCAATTATTCTCAATTATTTACGAACGAAAGATATCGATTTAAAAAATGTAAATCTTCGTACATTAAGGCATGAATCAGAATATTATGGGATAACTCCATTAGTTAAAAGACTGATGCTGTGTGAAGATTTATCTCAGTCTTCATGTGGAGATGTTTTATTTTATGGTTATTTACCACATCCCAGTAAGATTAACTATTATTGACTAAAAAAATTTCAATTTTAGTATAATTTACTTTACCATAAATTGATTTCTATTTTTTAGATATTCCATTGCAAGAACCACTAAGTGTATCTGCAACTATAAGCGATGTATCAATTCATGGTAGACCACTTAGTTCTACCTCAACATCTCCCCCTAGAATTGAAATGCCAGTATCCTCTCAACCTGTAGCTAATTTTAATTCTCCTGCTCAAGCTTCAAATCCTAATAGTAAATTATTCATTATCTTAAAAAGTTCATTAACTTTTTACTGTTAAATATTATTTTTATCCAATTATATCGTATAATTACTAATAAATTTGTAATTAATTTGTTAAAAATATTTTGAAAAATTTATAGCATAATATAAGCATTCATATAAAATAAATAATCAATAATAAATTAATAAATACATTCCGTTTTACTTTGCAATTTTATTTTTATTATGATTTAAATTTTTTTACAAAATCATATATTAGTACTGCTGGTTGTATGAAAATATTAAAAAGAATGTATAAGTAATTGAATTTATAACTATTAATTAAATTTTAATATTTTTTTTTAATCATGATCAATGTGTAAATAAAAGTTAGCTACATAAATTTTGAACAATACTTTTGAATTATTCATTAATGTTTTCTAAATTCAAATTATTCTAACACCAAAAGGTAAAAAAATACGTTTTAGTAGCATTATTAATAAATACATTATATCTATTTATTTAAGTTTATTTATTTATTTATTTATTTATTTTAGTTTATTTAAAAACGTTACTATTATATAAGTATATATGTAACCGTATTAATAATGCTTATAATTTACTTCTAATAAACTACTTTAAATAAAATATCAATATTTATTGTATTATATGTCTCATACATAATTAGTTATTTTTCTAGATCAAAGAACTCTACAAAGGGGATCTCTACATTCTCGCACAACATCACTTGATCTTAGACATGTTAGAAATAGTTCAGCAGATTTAAATAAATTATTTAAAAATGACATTGGATTAGTATTTAGTACACAAAATGGTAAAACATTATACTATTTTTATTTTTATTCATATGTGAACGAAATCTATAAATAATATCTTATTTGTTTAGTTTTGGGTTGGGCAGACCCTCTACGAGTTCAAATCATAAAAGCCCATCACAATTCAATAGCTGTAGCATATGCACATTTCATCACATGTTATCGATTAATGGATTCATGTGGCTGGCTGCATGATTTCACTAGTCCATATATTGAATCTGTAATCGAGCGAGTTGCAATAAATGCCAAAATGGGAATAGGCACAGAAGGAAAAATGGTTGCTATCTCTTATGGTAGTCAAGTAAGATTATGGTGTGTCACTGTAAATGGTATAAAGACAAAGAATATTGGTACTTTCAATTTAAATGTGCGTGTCGAATATTTATTTTTTATTGGAAGTCAATTAGTTGCATTATCACCGACGGGAAAAATTGGAGTTTGGCATGCAATGACACATCACTGGCAAATTCAAGACGTTGTATCAATTTCATCCTTTGATACTGCAGGGTCATTTTTATTATTTGGATGCAATAATGGATCTATTAATTACATTGGTAAGTTATGGTTATTAATATGATTTAAAAAAATAAGTTTTATAAATTTTAAATACCTTATAAGATCGATAATATTAATATACTTTTTATATAATAAAATATAATAAAATATATTTATATATTTTATGTAGATATGCAAAAGTTTCCCCTTAGAATGAAGGATAATGATCTGCTTGTTACACAGTTGTACAGAGATCCCAGCCAAGATCCAATAACAGCGATATCAGTTTACTTAACACCAAAAACAAGTAAGTTTTATTCATTTAAAGAGTGTCATTGTAAAATAATAATTTATAGGTATTAAAGTATATTTTCATTGATTGCTTATATTAAAATATCTTAATTGATTTATTTAAATATTTTATATTTATATTTTTAATTTATAAAACAGTTTGAGAATTTATTAAAATGCCTTTTTTGTTTATGTAAAATAAATTAGCAATTATTTTTTAAACAGTGTTTTTCTTAAACATATAAAAAATTATGTAATACTTTCTGAAATTTTCTATAGTGATTTGTTAATTATTTAATTAGAATATTTACCATTTCAACTACTTACCATAATATTCTTTGCTTCATGAATCAATACCATACAACTGGATACATAGCACAAGGCAAGTATGGGTCATACCGTTCCAAATTCAATATTACAGTACTTGTATAATATATAAATACATCATTTATCACAATACTATTGTACATCTCTTATTGTTATTTCATTTATATTCATAGTAGTAAATGTGCCCTTTCCTCATTGAGATAATTTTCTTCCATATATATATGTATTTGTTAATTTTAAAAACAATAATATAATAATATTAATAATATTTATTGTTACTAAAACTATCTTTAAATACCTTCATTTAACAATCTTAAAAATTCTATTGTGTTCTTGCTGTGCATCCAGTTGTACTAGTATAGAAATATGAATAATTAAAAAATCTTATTTATTCATTATTATATTAATTTATCTTTAAAATTTTTGGATAAATAATTTAATATCTTAATATTTTATTATATATTTATAAGTTTTAGTGAAACATAAATTTTAGATGTATTGAATAAATTGAAATGAAGTTTTAGTTGTATACTACTAATATAATTTGGAAAAAGCAGTATTTAATATGTATAATCTTTTTTTCTTAGAAATTAAGTACATATTCTTTACATACATCTAGACACATTTACTACTATATTGCATGAACATTTATTGTATTTTGTGGATTTGCATGTCATTATTGTAAAGTACATTTTAATAAAATTGCATCTGCATGAATAATAAAACTTAAACATTATTTAAATTGTTACAAATTCCTTTTTGATATAAAATTTTCATATTACACTTTTAATTTTAGGTCTTTGTGGAAATTGGATTGAAATAGCTTATGGTACAAAATCAGGAAGTGTACGTGTCATTGTACAGCATCCAGAAACAGTTGGACATGGACCTCAGCTTTTTCAAACTTTTACTGTGCATCAAAGCAGCGTGACAAAAGTAAACGAGTTTAATTACTAGTTTAATTTCTACTTATATATAATTTCTACGTATATTCTTCTAATATATTTATATAAGTTTATATCAAACATTAAATTTTAGGTTACTTTGTCAGAAAATTATTTGGTATCAGTTTGCTCTGAATATAATCATGTCAGGACTTGGGCTGTTACGCGATTTAGAGGTATGATCTCTACTCAACCCGGTTCAACGCCTGAAGCCAGTTTCAAAATTGTTTCCCTTGATGCTATTGAACCATGTATTAGCTATAACGCAGGAAATGATTTTGGTAAAAGATAAGAAAATTTCTTTTAATATTAGATTAACTATGTAATTGTTCTTTATAATACAGTTTTTATACTCTATATTTAGACTATGAATGTTAAAAAAATTAATTTCAATTAATTACAGATATTCATTTTTAATTAAATTTAAACAACTTATGAATAATATAGTTTATTATATAATATGATGTCTAAAAAATAATTGAATAAAATTTTAAATTATTTTTTAAATATAAAATATTAAAAAAACAATTAAGAACACTTAAAAAATAGTCGATTCGTTCAATAAAAAACTTGTTATTAATTAGATATAACATTGTACAATGGTTTAAAAATAATCTTATAATATATAGAAAATTATAAAATATAAAAAACATAAACATAAAATACTTTTTAGAAAGTTAATTATTCTCACAGTGTTACTATAATATACTTTTAATATATGATAAAGTGTCATTGTATGGAATACATTAAATATGATAAATAATATACAACTATTTTCAAAATAATTTTTGTTATACTTAGTATTTTTTAAATTCATTTTTAAAAAAAGTTCACTCTTATATTTATTACAGTATTATTTAAGAAATAATATTATATTTTAAAAATTTTTAATTAAGTTTTTTTTATTCTTACTATTATCATTAAATACGATTATAAAAAATATTTATGAATTTCAATTAAATCGCTTGTTATGTAGGACCGTTTGGTGAGCAAGACGATGTGCAAGTATTTGTACAAAAAGTTGTACCAGAGACAGATCAACTATTTGTAAGATTGGCATCTAACGGTAAACGCGTTTGCGTAATACGTTCGGTAGATGGAAGCGTCATCACGTCATTTTGTGTACATGAATGTGATGGATCGAGTCGCATGGGCTCAAGACCGAGGCGCTTTATATTTACAGGACACTCCAACGGTGCCATTCAGATGTGGGATCTGACAACAGCACTGAATGCATTTTTTAATGTTTTATCAGGTAAAATTATTAACTTCAAAAATTAAATATAATAGAATAGTAATAAAGTTTTTGTAAATTAATTATTTTATTCTTACCAAGATATAATGTATTTATTTAAATTTTCTTTTGAATATTTGAAAATATTCTTTAATTTAAAGTTTGTCACATTTATAGTAACTATCACAATTGTTAATTTACGATAAAAAAATAGGTACCAATTTGTCAAGGAATTAAAAAGATTGTTATGTTTGAATAAGGTTGAGCTTTATAAAATCGTATTGTAATAACAATACTTTTTACTGTGATCTAAACCAATAATATTATAAGAATTTCAGGATTAAATAATTTCATTGTAAATGTGATAGTCAAATACAATAATTAATAACGTAAAGACATTAAATAAATAATTTAAATGAAGCATAATTCATTTTTTAAATTTTAATAATTATACAGAACTAAGAATTAAATAAAATTTTTACAATTTTTTTATTATTTGTATTATCTTTTGCCATTACTTATTCAATTTTATATAAATATTGTTAAATAGAAAATTAATTAATAGGCAATTTTTTACCTACAATTAACTAAAAATTTAAAAATAATATCCATACCAACTAAATTAATAAATGTTTTTAACATAAATTATGTTAAACTGATTTACATAAACTAAACCTGACTATAGAATAGAACTAATAATAAAATCCTATAACATAATATATAAAAATTTGCTAATTCATACATTTTCTTTAAACATTTATATTAATTAATGTAAATATTAAAATATTCAATATCAACGTTAATTAACTAATAAATACTAATTATTAATCATTTTTCTTACAGCCAAAGAATTTTCTGGAGGTCCAACACCAGAAGAATTATGGAAGTTACTAGACCAATGTGATTTGAGTAACAGTCATTGTTCAACACCATCCATTAGCCCATCTCCATCCTTGATTATGTCCGGACCGAAAATAAAAGCTAGTAATGTCTTATTTCTAAATCAATCACAAAACTCATCAATAGGACCAAATCAATCTTAACTCATCACTAAGTCATAAATTTATACATTTGCATTTATTTTCTAAAATTTAATTTGTACATAGGAATATAGGTTTGATGAAGTTTGTGACATTTATAGTAACTATCACAATTGTTAATTTACGATAAAAAATAGGTACCGATTTGTCAAGAAATTAAAAAAATTGTTGTATTTGAATAAGGTTGAGCTTTATAAAATCGTATTGTAATAACAATACTTTTTACTGTGATCTAAACCAATAATATAAGAATTTCAGGATTAAATAATTTCATTGTAAATGATATAGTCGAATACAATAATTAATAACGTAAAGACATTAAATGAATCGACTTTTTTAATACCTAGTACATTGCGAATTTTATATAAATTTTATTTATTATTTGGCTATTAACCAAAAACATATTTATTAATTACAAATATAATTTTAATAGACTAGTATTTCAGTAAATATATACGCTTTACTAAGCGTGTAAATGTACGTTATTAATAAAAAGAATAAGAACATTTAATAAGACTAACAATATTTTATAATATTAATATTTATATGCACATTATTAAAATTGTGAATACACACGTTTTATTTATTTTTCAGTCGAGGCACAATGGTGTTAAACTTCTAATCTAATAATTTTTCTTATCAAGTAATTCTCAAATTAATACTTTTTGATAAATAGTTTGTAAACTATAATTCTTGTACTGTCAATTTTTTACAATGTTCTACAAGAGAAATGAATACAATAAACTAGTTACAAGCTAACTTAAAAAATTCTTATTAAGTAATAATGCAAAAATTTTAACTTTTCACTTTATAAAAAAGAGAAAAGCGATATGCAAGGTCTTGAATTATGCAGTAATGTGTTTTTGCCAAAACAAAGTATTATTGAACCAACTGGGATTTGTCATAGGTGTTAATAAAAAGCACCATGCTGCGAGTCCGATTACGAATAATAACAATAATTTAGCTCTTTCCAAAGAATCCTCATAAGCAACTACTTCTGATAGGTCGGGAAATCCCATGTGATTGCAAAATGAATGAGCTGTGAATGGGGCTGCAAAATGACCTAAAAATTTTTAATGAATCTATTTTATTATTTGTAATAACATCAATAATTTGAATTGTTCAATTAATAATAAAATGTTGATATAATTTTTAATGATATACCTGTTTTAGCAAATAAAAATGCAGCATATGCTCCAAACACTGTTGTGTAGGCAAATTGGAAACCTAAAAACAATTAAAATAAAGAAATTTATAAAGAATATAAAAAATTATATATTTATAGTTAATTAATATAATACATTTTTAAATCCTGCTAGATATCTAACTTACTACAATATATTAAATATATATATATATATATATATATTTATAAGCATATACATACATTTAAGAAATTTAAATTGTATTCAAACAACATTCAATTTATTACGTAGTACAGGTAACAATTTTTAATTAAAAATATTATTAGTTCGCATCGTACATGATTTCAATAAGGCTGTTTTAAAGTCCATCCCCCTCCTTGTATTTTCAACAAGGTGGTGAAAATGAGCAACTCCGAAAAAAAGCGGACATATAAAAATGGCAGTAGATGGTGCGAAACATTGTAGAAGTAATGGCAACATGCAGGCTCTGAATGTCCATTCTTCAGAAAGAGGTGCAATAATTTGATTTCTCCACCAAACTAATGTTTTAGCGCTACCTAGCCAGTACGTTGGTTCTATGTGAAATAATGAAGAAGAAAGTGTATAAAAAATAAATTAAATTTCTACAAAGAAAATAATATTTCAAATAAATCACATTTGGTTGTGCAAAAAAAACAAACAAATAAGTTTAACCTGTTAAATGAGAAAAAATGTTTAAAAATATTAGATTTATCCATTTAATTAAACATTTCATCAATTATAAACATCTTAATCTCATATTTACTCTTATATATATATATACACTAATATATACTACTCACATATAAACTCATATATTCATAAAATGTGATTTATTTTGTGGGAATATTTTAATATAGTATATTACATATTACATTATATATTATAGATTTTTATGTTCGTATATTAGAGAAAATAATTAATTAAATTTTGTAATTTTTAATGAATGTATAAAACCAAAAGTAACTTACCAACGTAAAGTCTCCATAGTCCATTGAGTCCTTGCATATAAAGTGGGCCCAAAAACAGAACCATGGTAAGACACAAAGGTATGATAATTGCTTGAATTATTCCAGGCCACCTTATACCTAATAACTCCCACAAAGTCGCCTAGAATACAAAAGTATAATTGTCAATGAAATTATAATAGCAATGAGATTTTATCTAAAAATCTACTTTTGATATAAATATTTGAAATAAATATAAATTTTAAGATATAAAAATAATAATTTAACTAAATTAACTTTATAACAATTATTTAAACTTACTCCTTCATAAAATTTCTCATTAATTCCAAAATACAGTGACAATGGAGAGAACAGTGTCATTACAAAAACACTAAAGAATCGTCTTTTTATTACACTGGGATGATCTCTAAAAATTATAATAATATGAAATTATATGAAAATAGTAAATTAAAAATAAATCAGTAACTTGAAATAAAAATTAATTATTGGAAATAATTTTTAATGATTACAGTTTGTTTCATTTATTAAGATATAATTTATTGAGTTTATAATAAAATTTTTAATTAAATAACGTGAACTTCGAGCATATTTAAAATTATAATACCTTATATTTAGATGAAAAAATAATACATATTTGATTTTCTTCGATTAAGTAATAGTTTAAAATATTAATTTGTTAATTTCGTAATATAGACAAATATATTTTTTATTATTTAGTCTACTCAGAAAGTTTATTTATCTTAGAAAAAATGATCTAAGAATGTAGTACGTAAATTAATAAAATGAACAAGTTTTATTGCAAGTTCTATATTATATTTTTACATTATATTCATCAAGTGCATTAATGATCTGTAATAAAATTAATAAAGAACTAAATTGTTAATAATAAATTTGACAAAATATTGATTATAAGTAATTAAATAGAAATTGTATTTTAGTACACTATTTATAAAATGCATGAAATTATCGTATTTTTATATAAAACAACATTTATAATGTTTCATCATATAAAAAATTATAATAATCTTTATCGCTTATAAAATTAAAATTAACTATCTTCAAGTTACTTTGCTTTAAAGTAAAAAATTAAAAAATACAAAACTTACATTTCCAACACTTATTTTATAATGCAAGCTTAAATTAATTTTTAAACATCATATATAATTAATATTATTATTAATTAATTAATTTAATTAAATAATTAATGAATTATTAATTAAATAAAATAATTAATTAAAAATAAATTTCATTCAACAAATACTTTATTTTAATATATTTTTTGTCGATATTTTTAGTAGTTTTATTATAAGCAGTAAATGAAAATTTCAAATTTGATCATTCATTTAAATACATAAAGTGTAACAATCAGATTTCTTATAAAAAAAAACAAGTAACTATGATTAATAGTAATTCTAAAAGTTATATTCTTTGAGGTTCATAAAATAAGAATCAAGATTTAATAGAAATAAAATATTACATCTCGAAATAACAGTACTCAAAAAATTGAATAGGAGTGAAGAAAAAAATATAGAATCTTTTCGTAAAAAATTATCGTTTTTTAAAACGTTCTTTAAGTAATTATTGCAAAAAAATATATGATGAAGTGATGAGCAAAAAAAAATAGGAAAACAATATAAGAGACAAACACATGAGAAATTCTATTAATCGATAGTAAAAGAATGTCAGTCTCCTAAATGTAGTATATTATACTATGAATTTTACGTTATTCATTGACAGAATTTCTGAGTATTTAACAAATAATTAAAAAATAACAGTTCATAAGAAAACTTCGACAATATTTTAAAAATTAATTTAAAAAATTAATTACTAAAATCATTGGTAAATTTTCACTCGCGGATAAAATTAATTACCAAGTAACTTAATCTATTCTAAGCATGTTAGAAACATGTATAATAAAATAATGACATTTATTCTAATAAATCTGATACGACAATCTGAAATAAAAACGTTTTGATATTCACTAATGTTTCAAAAGTAAGAATACTTTGTTGTTTTTTAAGCTTCATGGTGGTACATTTACTAAGTGTCAATTAATTTTAATGTCAGCACTGCAGAATAAATAATTCATAATAGTCTAAAATATATCTTCGTGCAAATTGTAGTGTGGAAACAGTGTCAAGTGTCATAAGTACATGCATTAAGTAAAGAGAAAGTGAGAAGAATTGAAAACGAAACTAGAACTATGCTATGGTTTGACAATCAGTCAATTCTACTTGATTTAAAATTGAATGAAATAATTTATTACATTCGTTACAGTTAGGACTAAGAGATTCCTAGAATTGGCAGGAAAGCAACTTCTTTGTCCTGATATGTTTGTTTTTATCAAAACTTCTACGTGAGATATAATTGAATTTTGGTATAAAAGAATTAAATCTTTTTCATAACAATAAATAAATCGCATCGATTACTCGAAATAAAGAATAATTAAATCGTTACATGATGCATAAGTCAAGCGAAGAGAGAGAGAGAGAGAGAGAGAGAGAGAGAGAGAAGTAAATTGGCAGATAGTTAGGTAGGTGATAGGAAGGTGGGTAAGTACGTAGGTAGATAGGCAGGTAGGTAGGTACATTGGTAGATAGTTAGGTAGGTGACAGGAAGGTGGGTAAGTAGGTAGATACATTGGTAGATAGGTAGGTAGTAAGGTAAGTTCATAGGTAGATAGGTAAGTAGGTAAGTACATTGTCAAATAGATAGGTAGGCGTATATTGGTAGCTAGATAGGTATGTAGGTAGATATGTTGGTAAGTACATTGGTAGATAGTTATGTAGGTATGTAGGAAGGTGAGTAGGTAAATAAGTAGATAAGTTGGTAGATAGGTACATTTGTAGATAGGTAGGTAGGTAGGTAAGTAGAAAGATAGACATATAAATAGAAAGATAAATTGACATATATATAGCTAAAAGACGAGAATGAATGCATTGCGGAGCAACTAACGAAAATAGAGTAAAGAAGCTAGCCAACTGTACCTGTCGAGGGGTGAGCGCCAAACGTAGAGGCTGCCGACGTAGATGACTGATAACATTAGGCAGCCGAGGATGCCGGATAGGCAGGGAAAGTCGATGCTGCTCTCGATTAGCTCGGTTAGCTCCATTGCCCCATAACCGTCGGCACCGAAAATGACTTCTTTTTTTATCTCTCTTTAGTACTACAATGTCGGCGGCTACTGTCTCGCCGCGCGCACTTTCTCTGGCCAGTAGCCAGTTCCCTCTTTACGGTGCGTGCGCCCGCTTGTCTCTTTTGATTCTTCACAGCACAAACCAGAATCAAGACGCTCAAAATTTAACTGCGGGAACACGGAATAGGAACAATATCAAACCTATCCAGCGTTTGTCCGTCCATTCCTGTTCATTTTTTCAATCATCGTCAACAAATTCGAATATAGTTTATTGGTTGTTAATTGTTACGATCAACCTCGACTTAACTGTAATTTATAATTTTCAACTCCGTACTTCGTGTGTAATAAACCAATGCTTATAGGGTGTCGAAGTTATCGGTAATAATGTAATCAAAATGTGCGAAGATGACGCTGCTTTCAGCAAAATCTGATCTTCATTATATCTTTATTTTTCTTTTAATTATCTTTTTTTTAATATTGCTGATAAATATGTATGTAGTATATCTTTAAAACGCATCGTGTACCCTGCTATTTGATGTTTAATATTTTAAATGAATACCTGACTAGTTTACTTAAGTTGTTAAGTTAAGTTAACCTGATTAGTTTACTTTAAGAAATTCATTAATAATAATTTTCCAGTCACTATTTAAGAGTTACAATATGATTGCAACGATGAAAAGTGACGGTCTTGCGCGGTCGCCAAGCCTTAATCAATGTATAGCGAGTAACAGAGAAAAGGATAGCGCTCCGCATTGCCACATACCTAAGGTACTAAAAAAAGAGACCGTACAAAGCCCATAACTCGTGTTATGCGCGCCAAAGAGCCTCGAAGCAAGACAAAGGTGTGCACGCATACATATCCATACATGTGCACGCACTTTTATATGAGAATTCTATTCGATTGCAGCCCTGTATATAATACACGCGTGTATATGTATATATATATATATATATATATACGCATGCATTAATGCCATGTACAAATGTACATAAAGAAGAGCTACAGGCACACACAGCTTAGAAGCTGAGCACCATAAAGTTTAAGCCAACAAATATTTCTTGATTCTCGAAAAACGAAGCGACGCGTAGCGGATCTGTCGTGAACGATAAGTTGTTCTACTGTGTTTGTATTGAAAACACGTATTTGATATGTAGCCGCCGCCTGGGCTCCTCCTTCTTTCTCCCATGCTGAATGTACATATGGCTATTGCCAATGGTGGAGTGCATACACACACCGATATATCGCGCAGCTAATAGCGCCAGCGTAGCTCTCGAATGCTGTGTATGCATAGTTGCGCACTGTATAGTCAGTACAGAATTCTATACAGAAAGAGAGTAGTGTAGCAGTAGGAGCAGAGAGGCCACCAGCATTGCAGCGTGAATGAGAGAGCTGCTGCTGGCCTTCGAGCGACGAGTACGAGAAGATGGCCGCTCGTGATCGACTCGTTGGAACGTAGTGTGTCGCCATTGTGTGCGGTGTGTCCGGTAGTGCGTGCGAGGAGGCCGCATTGTGTCATTGTGGTCATCCTCGTCGTCGTCGTCAGGTTTATCGCTCCATCGAAACGAAAGGCCCATACTCATTGATCTCTCTCTCTCTCACTCTTGCGTGCAGAGGACCACGGCAGGTGGAGAGAGAGAGAACGCGGAGCTCTACTCCGTCGGCCTACTCGTGCACTCTATCTCTGTCTTTTGTTCTTGCGCGCCCTCTTCGCTTTTTACCCAAGCTCTCGTGTTAAGCTGATATATAACGAGAGAGAGAGTGACACCTGGTGAACAACGACGCGAAGAGAAATCGTATTTATTTCGCTTGTCGAGGGAAGCATTGTTTTTTTTTTTATACGATAAAGCCGAAAGATGCCGAGCGCTTCTTTCACGTCCTCGCGGAGCTACGTCAGGAGATCGAGGAGGAAAGGTGCCAACCGAATCCCCCTGCCCTCCAGGACGAGTTCGGGTAAGCTATTAACATTTCTTTATCCTTGTATTAGCGAGCGCGCGCGCGCACTCTTATCTGCATACAATTGTGTTTGAATGCGTGTGTACGTAGCGGCTTCTTTCATCTCTTTCTGGCACTCGTGGCCATAATCCGTCACATTTCAAACCCTCCGTATGTGTATCGCCTCCTTCACTATTTATTTGTCATAAGAGCCGATCGTGACGAGGTTCAACCAGTATGATTTTACTTTTTAGGAGATGTATGCTTAGAAACGCTCTCGTAAAATTTATGCACGCACGTATTCCGATATCGATTCTAGTGAAAGATTCTGCTAGCTATCTTTCTCTTGCCCTTTGTGTATCCCCTCTTATCTCTTTGCCTCTTTCTCTCTTTCTCTTACCTATGTATTATATCTTGGATTCTATGTATATACTACACGGACCCGCATGCAGAGTGGTTTAACTCCTGTCGACGTTATCGTCGTCAACGTTGCGGTTATCGGAAGTCCGCTTGTGAAACACATGCCTACACCTACGCATCCTCGAAATAATGCATTGTGCACTCGATTTTCATTTCTTTCTTCGTTTTTTCTCCTTTACTGCTTTACCATCATAAAGAGCATGTGTGTATATTGGTGCAATCCCGTCCATGCTTATGGCTATTCGTTACATCTAAATATATATATATATATATATATATCACCGTTTATTCGAGGTTGGTATATGCATGCAGAGAGGGAGAGCAGGATTGCGGTGTTTTCTCTTTCTGTCTCGTCGCAACTCGTGGGAACATCAAAGGGTTTCTTCTTTCCTTTTCTCTCTCCCTCTCGTTCTCTCTCTCTCTCTCTCTCTCTCTCTCGCCCTCTCGCGCGCATGATCCTCTCGATCTCCCTCTCTCCCTCTCCCACTCTCCCTCTCTTTCTCTCGAAGAGACCTTTTTTTCCAAGGCGTGGACGGGGCTTCGTTTTTCTCTCTCTTGCCTACTCCTGCACCGTCGACCTCTTTTGCACGCAGCGGCGAACTGTTTTTTATTCTTATTCTATCGACTAATGTTTCGAATAACACTAGCAATGGAATTTTGAATTTTCTATCGCGAGAAAAGAGATTAAAAGCTAGAAGTATAGAAATATGAGATTTTTCTACTGCGTTTCACTCTCCTCTTTGTTTCGCAATTCCATTTTTAGTCTCTTTATACATAATTCTGTCATAGTAAATGTTAAGGTCGTAGGCAATTGCAGCAAGCTGTAATTGACTTCAATCATATTTTGGTATTACATAGAATGATTAGAAAAAGTCACATTACATTTTGAAAATAAATTTATTCATATTTGTAAACGAATAAAGCGCTTCTAAATTATTCCAATAAAATAAGTCTTTTAATTGTAGTTTTAGTTTCAAGATACGATAAATATACTTAATGTTTGATTTCGCTACGCAATAAAATGATTCGTGAAAGTCGTATAACAGTTAAAATTGTCATAATTGTATAATAAAACATAGTACAGAAAATGAAAACACAGTGTATCTAAAACATATATATTGTAAAGAAGCTTTATATTTTCCTATTCTAATTGTATTCAATAATTCTAATGTCTAAATATTTTTATATAAATTGTTCAACATTCTAAATAATATTTTTCCACATTTTTATTGAAAACATCTTTTTAATAAGAAGATATAACAAAATTTTGTTTTATATATTTATATTAATGTTGTTTTACTTTGTTTTAATACAAATTTAAATAATTACTAGTAAATTACATTCAAAAGATAAATTTTTATAATGATGAAAATTGATTAATAAAAGATTTAATTTTAATCCAACCCATTGAAATATTTACATCAAATATGTAAACAAACGTAGAGTTTAGAATATTAATCGTATTTTGAAATATAAAATAAGTATAATATACGAGAACGCGCACGCGCACGCGCACTTAAACATTACTATGTAATTTTTTTTGTATATATGTACTGTTTGAATCAGCGACTTATGTATGCATAAGCATACGTTGCCGCGTTTGCATATGTATGCATATATTGTTTAATTCATTTTAAACTTAATTTGTTAACTATATGCTTCAGTATCAACGCAACATTTCTGTGTTCTGAAAAAATAATATCTTATGTTTTGAAAAATGAAGTATAAAAAAAATAACGTTTGTCAAATATTTGCTTGATTTCACTGAATTTGTATAAAAAGTGAAATTTCTTCATGAAAGTTAGTTTTGATAATAAGCCAGTTTGGTCTTAATCTCTCTATTCCTCGTTTAGAAACCCGCATTTCACACGCATACAGAACGCTAAAAGGCTACTGTTGCTACTTAGGAATATGGCGAAAGATAAGGTCAAACGAAATTATATTTAAATAATAGTAAAACGGTTCATTAATATAGATCGATTTGTAGAAGCCAACTTACAATAAAAGAAATACTCTAAGATTGCCCTAATTTACTTCACTATAGTGGTTATGAATTATTTATTTGAAGTATATTACCTCCAAGAACATTCTTATATATTTAATAAAATATTTTTAATTAATTAATATGTGTTAAAAATTTGCTTACCTCCCTTTCCATATTTTATAAATAATCATTGCATTGTTATTCAATTTTTTCTTGAATATACAGATATTGTAAATTACATCATCTTATTTTTTATGATAACCTAAAATAATAGATCTTATGTCTTTAATTTTTAATAAAATTAATTTGTATATTTCACAACTTTCATAGTATTTTAAAATAAATAGTCTATTTTATTTTCATATAATAATTGACTTTATAATTCATAATATTCTAATAATTTAAAATATAATATATTTGTTTAAACTTAATGTTTTTTATTTACTTTAATCCATTTATATATTTTTTTACTTATATTAATGAATATGATGTTAAAATAAGTATAAATTGATATATTCATTTATACACATTATAAAATATAACAGTATAAAAGAAATATTATGTTGAGGAAAAAGGTTAAAATATTTAAAATAGGCTTTATAACTTCTTCCACTGGTAAAAATAATCAGTGTTTAATATTATATATTCAAATGTTAACATTATTTTATTAATATGGTTTTGTGATGATTCAATGTATTTAATTATATTTAGTAATTCTTAGTATAAAATATTTTATTTATAATATCTTGTTTTAAATTTAAAATATATTTATGATATTTACAGTTGAAAGTATCAAGTACTCAAAAATTAATGTTAAATTTATAATGTTAATAAAATGATACATCTCATTATTTTTCTTATATATTTGATAATATTAAATTGAATGAAATGAAATACAAAAGTGTTTTGAATTGATATATTTTATATGTATTTTATAAGAATTTTTATTATTTTGAACTCATAAAGTTTTAATATAATTAAATTTTTCATAAAATTTTTTTCATATCTTAATGATTTGTAATGTTTAAAATTTATATAAAAACTAACGTTTGTCTTTGTCTTTCAAGCTGAACCATGTGATCTTCCATGTGTGGCATCAAATCAGATTCCTCCAGGTGGAGGAATTGGAGGTGGAGGTAGAGGATCATCTCCTAGTGTATCAGGAGTAGCTGCTCCTTCACCTTCACCATCCCATTCTCACTCATCTCCATATGACCTAAGACGAAAAAGTCCACCGCATCCAGATCCAGCACCAGGAACAAGTTCAGCTTTACCTCCCTCAGGTGGAAATAGTATATCAGCTGCTCTTGGATCTTCATCTCTTCCAGCAAGAAAACGGCCTAGAAGAACTTGCTCTTTATCTACCGATGGTGTGTATTCATATATTCAAATAACTTTAATTAAAGGCATAGAAACTTTTTCTTTTAATATTCCATTAAATTGACTATATATACTAATGTATTTTTATGAAAAATTAAGAAATATTGCATTTAAGAAAATGAAACTTAATAATAATTAGAGCAGTAATAATATTAATCTGAATTGTTAATAAGAATTATTTGTTATTTTTGAACAATAAATTTAATATGATGAAGAGAACATTATAAAAAGATTACACCTGAATTTTACTCAAAACAAGTTTTATGTATATCATTACTGTTGTAATATATTGATAGTGATGTGTAATCTTAGTTTTTATAATGAGTGTAATATATTGCTTAAATTACAATTTTATAGAATTTATGTTTTATCTGTATATTTTGAAACTGTCATTCCAAATTGTTCAAAATGATTGTTTTTAAAAGTAATAATTTTGTACGTTATTATGATATGCCAATTATTAATATCTAGCCATATGCTATAATATTTTAATATCTAACACATTCACAAAAATATAAATGAATGAAATTAATACATTTTAACAGGAACAAATACAAACACAGCAGCGCACTACCTCCAATATGAGTTACCCGATGAGGTTCTTCTCACAATTTTCAATTACCTAATGGAACAGGATCTGTGTAGGGTCTCACAAGTTTGCAAGCGTTTCCAGGTTATAGCAAATGATACAGAACTCTGGAAGTCCCTCTATCAGCAAGTCTATGAATATGATCTGCCTCTCTTTAATCCTGCACCTTGCAAGTTTCAGTTTATTTCTCCAGATGAGTCAGAGTATCCCAATCCTTGGAAAGAGAGTTTTAGACAATTGTATAGAGGTGTACATGTCCGACTCGGTTTCCAGGATGTCAAACAAAAAGGCAGGAGTCTGCCATATTTTAATACGATCCAGGCAGCTTTAGATTATGTTGATGAATTTCGGAACAGCAGCAGCTCCTCTCCTAATAGTAATACTAGTAGTATAACGAACAGTCAGGGAAATTGTTGTGGGAGTGTTGCAAGTGGCACAGGTATTATAGAAAATAATTTGTATTATGACCATTCATATAGCCAGTTTCATACATAAATTATCTTGGTTTTAAACAACTGATGGTTCATAAAAATTTAAATAAGAAAAATGCTTTAATTGAATCAATTTGTAATTATATCTGATTTTTGTAAATCAAATTCGATAAATATATATGTTTTTAGATAATAAATAGTATTTATATAAAGTCTCGATTAAAACAAAAATTTATTTGATTTAAAAATAAATTATTAATAATTTAGAAAGTAAAGGAAAATAAAATATAATCAATGGTATTTATTTTAAATTATAATTTACTTATTAAATTAGATTTATAAAACAACTATTTTGCAGTTGGAGGGGGAAATGGAGGAAATAATTCTTCACAAAATACTGTTGATGATACGCCACAACATCTCGTATTCCTCCATGCTGGCACGTACCGCGGCGAGTTCCTTGTTGTCGATAGCGATGTAGCGCTTATAGGTGCCGCTCCTGGCAACGTTGCCGAATCTGTTATTTTAGAAAGAGAAAGCGAATCAACAGTAACGTTTGTTGAAGGTGCAAAACGTGCCTATGCTGGACACTTGACTCTTAAATTCACTCCAGATGCAGCGAGTACAGTTACGCATCACAAACATTACTGTCTCGAAGTTGGTGAAAATTGTAGCCCAACAATTGATCACTGCATTATACGAAGCTCAAGTGTTGGTAAGTATATTATCAAACTAAGTCTTTTTTTAATTAGGCAATAATTTAATTAGTAAAAAGTAAGTTCTATTATAATTTACAATAGTTTTTATTAGATTTAATAAAGCATTTTATTTAAAAGAAAAATATATTGTTATTGGAAAACGTTTCAAAATTATTTAAAAGTGTGTTTAATATAAAATTAAAAACGCTTAGCTTTAGTACACTGTTCTTTGTTGGACTTTGTACGCATGAATGATTACAAGTAAATTGTAAAATATTTTTATTATATTTATAAGTTTCATAGTTAATTATCTTTCTGAATTTACTTATTACAGTGGGTGCAGCAGTTTGTGTATCAGGTCTAGGGGCAAATCCAATCGTGAAAAACTGCGACATCTCGGACTGTGAGAATGTTGGATTATATGTAACAGATTATGCACAGGGGACGTATGAAGACAACGAGATATCGCGTAATGCACTCGCAGGCATTTGGGTTAAAAATTTTGCAAATCCAATTATGCGACGAAATCATATACATCACGGTCGGGATGTCGGTATCTTTACTTTTGATAACGGACTTGGTTACTTTGAAGCTAATGATATCCATAATAATCGTATTGCGGGGTTTGAAGTGAAAGCTGGAGCAAATCCTACGGTAGTGCACTGCGAAATTCATCACGGTCAAACAGGTGGCATCTATGTTCATGAAACTGGTATGGGCCAATTCATTGATAACAAGATACATTCTAATAACTTTGCCGGTGTATGGATTACTTCCAATTCTAATCCTACTATTCGGAGGAATGAAATTTACAATGGACACCAGGGTGGCGTTTATATATTCGGCGAGGGAAGGGGTCTTATTGAACACAACGATATATACGGAAATGCGCTGGCCGGTATCCAAATTAGGACGAATTCGGACCCCATCGTCCGACATAATAAGATTCATCACGGTCAACACGGAGGTATCTATGTACACGAAAAGGGGCAAGGACTGATCGAAGAAAACGAGGTATTTGCTAATACGCTTGCCGGCGTCTGGATAACAACAGGTTCGACGCCGGTACTTCGAAGAAATAGGATCCACAGTGGTAAGCAGGTCGGCGTTTATTTTTACGATAACGGACATGGCAAACTGGAGGACAACGACATTTTCAATCATCTATATTCGGGAGTACAAATAAGGTAAAGTACTTAATAATAGATAATGGTGTAACCAGTAATAATGATAGAGAATTGGACATATTTTAACTTGGCTAAAAAACTGATTTAATTAATTGTATTATATATAAATAGCTTTCATTAATGAACATCAATTACATTAAATATTGTTAAATTATAACAAATCGTAATTTTGAAATGATATTATGATACTGAAATTTCAATATTAGTCTTAAATTTAATATTAGAACTTTAATATTATTTTAATCTTAGAAATTCAATATTAATCTATATTATAGAAATGTTACTTATGTTGTGATAGCTCTTTTAATTCAATAATATAAATTATAAACTAATATAATATGTTTATGAATGCATATTCATTATCTTTCTAGAACTGGAAGTAACCCTGTTATAAGAGGTAACAAAATATGGGGTGGCCAAAATGGTGGTGTTTTAGTTTATAATAGTGGTTTAGGTTTATTAGAACAAAATGAAATTTTTGATAATGCAATGGCAGGCGTTTGGATAAAAACAGATAGCAACCCAACACTAAAGCGAAACAAGATATTTGATGGTCGAGATGGAGGTATTTGCATATTTAATGGTGGTAAAGGTGAGAACTTCACATTAGCAAAAACATGTTGATTGAAATTTAGAAAATTATATAAATTTCTTAATATTGTAGGTGTTTTAGAAGAAAACGATATATTTAGGAATGCACAAGCAGGTGTTCTTATATCGACACAGTCGCATCCGGTGCTAAGAAGGAATCGAATTTTTGATGGTCTAGCAGCAGGAGTTGAAATAACTAATAATGCTACTGCCACTTTAGAATTTAATCAAATATTTCATAATAGGTTTGGCGGCTTATGTTTAGCAAGCGGCGTGCAACCTACAATAAGAGGTAACTTATTCAAATTATTCTAATTTTTTCAAACTTATTCAAACAACTATTTAAATTATTATTTTTTAATATCAATATATTTTTTAAATTCGGTATCATTAATAAAAATTTTCATGTCAAGGAAACAAAATTTTTGATAATCAAGATGCAGTTGAAAAAGCAGTAGGCAATGGACAGTGTCTTTATAAAATATCATCTTATACTTCATTTCCAATGCATGACTTTTATCGATGTCAAACATGTAATACTACTGATCGAAATGCTATTTGCGTTAATTGTATAAAAACTTGCCACGCTGGTCATGATGTGGAGTTCATTCGCCATGATAGGTAAAACTAATGTTTTATTTTTTGTGTAACAAAATAGAATGTAACAAAATAACGCATTTACTTCATTTAAGTTTTATAACAATTAAAATAATATCAAAATAAAATAATATTTAAATATTGTAATCTCGTCTAATAGATTTAGACATGTGTATTACAATAGTTGAATAAGTATGTACTATATAAATAAATAAATTTTTATTAATATTTAATATAAAGTATAATTTTTAATCACTGTTAAATTAAAGAAATTTTTTTATATTATATTTTCAAATTCTATATTGCAACATTCATATTTAAAAAATTTGAATAAATCATTTCTTATATGAAACAAAAATAAGTTTTGATTCTATAGTAATTAAATATTCGAATTAATAATTTAAAAAATTGATTTCTTAGGATCAAGTGTAAAACGTAATTATTGCTTTGTCATTAATTGTATAATTAACTTGTATAATGTTTTATGCTTGGATAATTTTTAATAATAAATCAATGATTTTTATTTTATAATTTGTATAATTATGAAAACTAATTTTTTAAATAAATTAATATACTGTATATACAAAACAAAATAATAAAAACTAAGTTATTTTAGTATTCAAAAAGATTGAAATTTATTTTGATAATTTGAAATTTTTAAATATATTATTATTGTGAAAATTTTATTAATATATCTCTCATAAATCAATTTTTTGTCATTCATATTTTGGATTAAATTATTCCATTGCTTTAATTCAATAGAAATTAGAAGATTATTAAGAGAATAAAAGTACTATATTTGATTAGCAATATTTATACACACTCGAATCCGTAATTTTATTTATCCAATTTTAGTGTTATTTTCATTTTTTTTTGTGCATATAATTAATGAAATTTTATTTACCATCAATTAATTAGAACATATATGACTCGTTACATGTTGTAAAGGAAAATATTATTAATAACAATAATTTATTTACAATTGAAATTTCAAAAATATGAATAAAACTAAATATTTCGTTAACCTTTATCTAATCATTTCATAATTCATAATTTTAGATTTTTTTGCGACTGTGGAGCTGGAACTTTGAGCAATCAGTGTCAACTTCAAGGTGAACCGACACAGGATACTGATACACTTTACGATAGCGCTGCCCCCATGGAATCACATACACTTATGGTTAACTAGGATCTAACTTAAAAAAAATCACATCAGCCCTCTCGTTTAAGTCATCGCGTGTAAGTTCATCGCGTTACAAATAAAATAATAAATCAAATGGCGCCGTGAGTTATTGCAGGGCTTTTCGCCGACTTCCCGAGTACAGAGTGTTTAAATAGATATGTGTACACGTACAGATCGAAAGGTTCTGCGATTCATTAAAAAATGACAAAGTTATATATACATAGTGAACAACGCGTATAAATGAGGATAGTTAATAAATGTAAGAGAAAAGACTATGAAAGATAATAGTAAATAAAATTCTCTTGAAAATAAAAAGCGAATTTATGAAATTGTATCAATATGTGAGGAGAGGTTCGATCGTTCAATGTGCGTGTGTCGCCTAAACGATTACAAGAAAGAGATAATTTATCTTATTCTTCTGCCGATGAATCTCCAAAATGACTGCGAAGATAAACAGGATTAAGAATGGTGATAAACAAAACTTTTTAATGTGTACAGACAAAACTCAATGTATTCATTGTACAATTGAAAAGATCGATTATTTTAAGGTTTAATAAATCGATCCTTTTATTAAAATAATACTAAGGGTATTTTAGTGTGTGGTAAGTTTCAGTAGAAGAGAATGGAGAGCAAGAAAAATTATATGTACTAATCGTAACAAATGCATACATTAACTCGTATCAGGTGCCACGAATGTAAATTTGTGTATAAGATAAAGCAAAGTAAAAACAATCTTGATAGAGAAAAATAGTGAATCGTGTGTCTACAGACTTTTTATCCACGTGCCAGGAAGTGATGGTTAAATATTATTTACTTTTGTGCGCGACTGAACCTGAAAGAAGGAAAATTGCACATTTTACGGCACGTGATGAAATAAATGATTGAGATCAGAATTTGATTTCATACTGACATCAAAAATATCGATTTTAAATTAAAGAGAAGTAAAAATACTATTAAAACTATTTAAATATTTAAATTGTGATATACGTACTCTTTATAATCGGATATGATGTTTGAAAAATCAAGAAAAAAGAAAAATTGATGCAATTCTGTATTACTATTATTTTTAAATATAGTGGGTCGTTTTTCTAAAAATAACATTTTGTTTCATAATAAAGATCACAGTTTTTCGGTAATACCTTCAGTACACTATGGTGATTTGTGATGGTCCTAAGATGCCTAAAAGGGCAAAGTGCATAATAATAATTATATGGTATTGAAATAAAAGATAAAAATCAATATTTAAAGTATATTATCAAAATATACGGATGGCGATGTTTACCAGTGATGAAAATAAATAAATGAATAAAACTAAAGTTTAAAAAAATAAGTAAGAATGATGATACTGTACAATATACAGTTTTCCAAGTAATATCAGAGTTCTTAAAGTAAATTCAACGCCCTTTTTTAAAAGTAATTACGATAGTGGTAATATCTAATCATATTATAAGCAATTTCACGAAAGAAAAAAACGTATTTCGAGAATGAGTTATCTCTCGTACAACAAAAACACCCGTAATGTGTTACGAAGACATTTTTTAAACTGGAGTCAATCCTAATGTCGCGATGAAATGAAGCGAAAAAATAATATAATACAATAAAATTTAGTAGTCAGATTTGAAATCGTTGATCGTACATACTAAATCGTTTAGTGCTTCTTCGTCTCCTCTCTCATTCTTTTCTACCTGCAAGCAGTTTCATATCGTCCTTTATATACATCACACTTGTACGTAGGAGCCCCCTCTCACTTTTTGTAATGCTATTTTTCCTCCTATATAAAATATGAAAACGGAAGAAAAAAAATATGATGAAATAACTCGCTGAACAAGTGAAAATTGCCTTTGATTGTTTTTTGACCCAAGGTCTATAATTTAGTATACTGTAATACTATGTGTACACGCAGCAACAGTGGTATATTATCAATAGTACAACTATGAACGTTTAGTATGATTTCTAGAGATGTATTGATAAAAATGTAAAGATAAATCAAAGGCAAATTTTATGCAAAATTTAGTAACGCCCATGCGTTCTTATATGAAAACTATGATAACGAGAGAAACCATAATAGAAAATAGTAAACGTGATTCATCCAAGCGGTCCCTCCAGACATTGTATCCGTTGTTTTCGTTATTTAATGACGCAATTATTTGGAGATGGACGGCTTTTTTGAACGAATGATTGACTCATAATCTACTACAAATTACAAATTACTAGTAAATTTATACAAATCATAATGAATTTCGAGGTGTCGTAAATTTACTGTTCTATGTTAATATATTCTCAGTTTTCATAGGGATCAAAATTTATAATTTTGTAATGTAACAAATATTGTTTTAGTTAAAACTATATATAATCAGCAGACATTGAAATTATAAAGGATTGTTTTTATTTACTAAAGAATCAAATTATTTTTTTTATAGCGCATTGTACTTGACTGATCTAATTTAATAAAACGAATTAGTTATTTACATAAATTTTATTTGTCAAATATTTTGTTATAAGGTATTTTTTAAAGACATTTGATTGAATTTTTAAAGATGTTTTTATAATATTGTTCAATAATCGACATAATATACATTTAAAATTAATAAATGAACAAATATTTTTCATAAAAATTATTTCAACGAAATTTTAAATTAAAATATATACAGAATAAAATACAACTTTTTATTTTTCAGAACATCTTCGTTATTTATTTTTTTTATACACACATTCTTATAATGTTTAGAATAATTTCATAGTTATCAATGATAACAGTTTGATAAGTGATAAATATAATTCATACCTCGAAGAAATATAAAACTAAATCGCGTGGTTGAAAGTAACAAAGCCGTCTATTTCTGAGTAACATCACGTCGATTTACTTTCGAAACTTGTGTCTTAAGAGCAGCACAAACATAATTGTGGTGATATTGTTCCTCTTTCTTTTTTAGATAGTATTTAAAATCAGGCAGCATGCATAAAATGTGTAAGAAATTTAATTTGATTTCTTTTATTATTTTAATGACGTGTTTTTTATTGTCATTTTCTGCAGATATTTTCTATTAAAGAAGTATTATGTATATTATATATTATAGTGAAACGTGTTTATACTCTCCTGTGCTCTCTGCTTTGACTCAAGTTTCGATGGCGTTGAGTAACTTTTTATGTAAGACTTGAGCGTCGTTGTCGCGTTGCATGTATGTATGCGTTTTTATAAAAACTCGAAACATTAAGAACAAAGAAAAAAAGTAAGCTTCCATCAACTTCCAATTTATACATTTATTTAATGTATGGATATAAATTAAAAAAAAAATAACATCTCTTCCACGTGGTTCGAATATTGACAAATAAATTGCTGGAGCGCTACGACAATGCTCAAGTTCCTCACGATTGTTATGTATATATTTAGAAAATAAGTTCAGATTCCTTAAAAATCAATAATATGTAAAGTTGTTGTCTTCATTTTTTATTTAGGTTTTATATTTTATACACACCCGATTTGTAATAATTGACTGGGCATACGTTAAACAATTAATAATAACACAACATAGAACACTCAGACGTTCAATATATACACATATTAATTCCTCATAATTTGTGTATGTATGAATAGACTAGGTTTTCAGTGGCAGTTCGTTAAAGCGATATTAATGTTTAAAATTAAAAAAATACTGGCGATGAAATCAAATTCAAGCAAGACTGGTCAGGTATTGTACGCGCTTGTATGAATGAGTGTGTGCGTGACAAGTAAACAATAAAAAAACAATGCGTATATGTACGAGTACACACAACCATGAAAAAAAAAAAATTGTGTAGAACACAAATGTTAAAGAGAAAATATCTATGATTTCCTCGTGTAATGCTACCAT